TCTCTGTGTGCATGTGTGATTGGAAATATTCTTTAGCATTACTCATTCATTTCTTCTTTGTTTTTTCTTTTTTGTTTTTAAATTAGTTTAAATTTTAACAAAATTATAATAAAAAATATTATTTAATAAAATTAAAAAAATCTAATTTCCGTTACAAAATTGCGCACGATTTTTTTATCTCTTTCTTTTGATTATTTGCTGTCGCAAAACGCGAAGCGACTTTAGGCAGCTCTTTTTAGGTGAATACGCATTAGATACCCCCCCTCCATGGCCAACAAAACGGAAAAATAAGGTGAGATCAGACTTTAAAATAAATCTTATTTAAATCCCCACAACTTTTCCTGATCGCCCATTCCTAACAAGTATATTTATTCCCTACATTTCTTATTAATTATACTAACTCTTATAATTGTCAAAACAAACGTTGATCACCTCTCTGTTTTATTAATTAGGACTAAATTTTAATTAATTATAGATTCATTTACAAAACTAAATTTTTTCCTAAAAATTAATTTTTCTAGTTTTAATGACCCAAAATAAAAATATTTTATTAAAAATTTTACACCAGTTTATTTCTATAATTTGCCGCCAACATTTAAAAACCCATTCAAACAAATATAAATAAAAATTTAACAATCTTTTTTTTTATTTTTATCATTTTTCGCTCGACTAAGCACCGACAATTTTTTTCCAACAATTTAATCATCCGGTATCCGGAACCGAAAAAACCCCCCGGATATCCGGAAATTTTCGGTTCGGATATCGGTTCCAGTTTCAGATATCCGGAGATTTCCCAGGAACCGCCATCCTTAATTGTGAGACAAAGGTTAGGTATATCTGTGTATATTTATTTTGGTTTATATCCTCATACTTTTTATAATCAGCCGAGTTTCTTAATTTCATATATACATGTTCAGATATACTTAATATTTATTTACTACCTTTATCACTAGAAATTTTCCTTTAAATTATTAATAATATTTTCTACAGGTTTCCAATTTGAAGCATAAAATTTTTTTAAGTTTTAATAATACTTAATCAGCAAAAAATTTTTTTGTCTGTATTTTAGTATTTATTTAATATATTTATATTCCCCTTTTTTCCCCTCTATTTTTTACCTTCTTTACCACCGTCTTCCCTCTTATTATCATCAATTAGATTATTAACGGTCCGCTTATTATCACAAAAAATTTTTTGAGCGCGGCGCCGCGCACATTTAATATTTCCTCTTTCCCCTTTTTTCACAATTTTTGTGCGCGGAGTCCACCCAAAAGGAGAAAAAAAGGAAAGGCTGGCTCATTGCCTCCACTTTTACTATAATTTTGCCTTCAAACATACAGTAGTCGACATAAAGATAGGGACAAGAGTAATTTAAATGAAAGTTAACTATTTTTCAGTCAAAAAATACGTTCTATATACCAATCGAAAGCTCTATTCGTATCTCAGTTGACATGTTTCTGCATTTTTCATGAAAATGAAAAGTGACCGAGATAATCCGGATCTACCGGATATACCAAATCCCATATCCTCGGAAAAATTTTTCTGAAAATATTTGACAAACCCATTTGATAAAGCATATTTTTCTGAGTATTTTCCACAAAACCGCTTAGAAATATCTTTTTCCAATCCAGAGATATGATTTTTTGAAAATCGCATTTTTCACTTAAAAATTGAATTTTTTGCAAAAATAGGCTAAAAATGCGATTTTCAAAAAATCATATCTCTGGACCGGACAAAGATATTTTTAAGCGGTTTTGTGGAAAATACTCACAAAAATATGCTTTATCAAATGGGTTTGTCAAATTTTTTCAGAAAAATTTTTCCGAGGATATGGGATTTGGTATATCCGGTAGATCCGGATTATCTCGACCAACTTTCGATTTCATGAAAAATGCAGAAACATGTCAACTGAGATACGAATAGAGCTTTCGATTGGTATATAGAACTTATTTTTTTAATGAAAAATTAAGAATTTAAATTTAAATTACTCTTGTCCCTATCTTTATGTCGACGACTGTAACATTTTTTTCTTATTTTTATTAACAAAAATAAATAAATATATGTACATGACTAGAAAAATTACGCCAATCTTCTTCTCCTCATTGAGTAAAGCATAGAAAAAGGAAATATTTTTTTGAAATTTATTTACTAAGCTTATTGCAATTATAAAAGGATTTAGCAATCGCAACATTTTACTTGATTTCTTTTGGGTAACTTATTAGGCTTTAAAGGGGATTTCTATAACTTTTTTATAAGAATCATTGTGTCAATATTTAATTATTAAATATTCTAAAGCCTCTAATATTTATTAAATATTTGTGTTCATAATTACTTAAAATTAATTACAACTACCAATGTCTCAAAAAGTTTCACCATAATATTTACTTTTTCTTTATTATTAAGCTCTCCTACATATTTACAAAATATAAACTATTTTTTAAGAATATCACTACCAGACACAACTAAATATCAAATTTAATTTAATGATTATATCAAATTAACAAAAAAAACTAGCAATTTATTAGCTCGCGCGTTCCTTCTTCCGTTACTCATCAAACGAAATCATTCACGTGGAAATTAAATTTTTATTTAAAAAATCCGTTCATTTATGTGTTCATTTTTATTTGTTTCTTTTATAGTTAAAAAGTAAATGCAAATTTAATAAGCAAAAAATTAAAACATTAAAGACCATTAAATAATTGCTAGATATAAAAAAGTACTTACTATTATTAACTAAAAATTATTAATTAATTAATTTAATATTTTTTTTACTTCCCTACTTTCCTAAATTTTCCCTTTTTTCTGTCCTTATCTCTTCAATACACGCCCTTTCATAAATTTATTGGTTATGGTTGTTGCTATATTATTATTGAAAAATATGACAACCAACCAGCCAAATAGAGGGGAAATTATGAGAGAGAATGATGAATGGCGCCGACCGGCCATTGGTGGCAGAAATGTTTTTTTTAAAAAGTGAGAAGGAGGAGGTGGAATAAATATTTAATATTTATTTTTTAATTTTTTTTTCTAAAATTTTATCTAATTATTTCAAATTAAAACAACCTCTTTAAATTTCATTTTAATTTTAAAATAAAAATTATTTTTGGGTTTCCTCTCCCATATTAAGTTTTTAAATATTTTTTCTTTAAAATGATTTTACATTTCCTTACCCATAAATGATCATTCCCTTCAATAACCGTTATCCCATTATCTACATAACTTTCTATTTTTATTTTTAAATTTTATTAAAAATTGTCTCATTTTGCAAGAAAAAAATCTTTTTTTTTCCTTTCTTTTTTCGATTCACTCCCTTGGGGTAAATTTTTTGTTTTATTTTTGCAAAATTTTTTTAAAGGATTGAGTGGACTTTGAGTAAAGTGATTGGGGGTTATTTAGTCATTCTCATTTAAATATTTAAAAAAAATATTTTGTTTGCCAAAAAGTTTAGTCATTTAATTAAAATTATGTTAAAAAGTTTATTTTTAGAGGGGATGGTCAAATTTAAATTAGTATATTTGACAATAATTAATATTGAAATAAAAAAAAGAAAGAGAGTAAGAAGTATGTATGTACTTCATTCAGTCAATCTTGTAATTTATTTTTTTTAAATTATTTAATTAACTCTAAAAATAGTTTAATAACTACATACATTTATTTGAGGGTGAGATTTTGTATTTTTGAGGGTTAATAGAATTGTCCTAAAGAATATATGGAAAAGTTAAACAAAGTTATTTATAATCAAAATTCTAGCAATCGCATTTTCGAAAGAGTTATTTTGGGAATTTAGCTATTTTGGGTATATGTACATATAATGTCACTAATTAGGAGGACCAAGTTTAGAATTATTAATTTTTACCAAAACAAATATCATTTTTTAATTATTTCTTATCCTTTTTTGAAAAAGAAAAATAAGAGTAAATTAATTAATTATTTTTATGCCAAATGATGCGTTTAAAAATATAAAATTAAATTTAAAAATTAATGAGTGGAAAATAATTGGGCGGGTAATTTTAATAGTAAAACTTAATTTCAAAATTTTAGGTATATAACTTTAATTAATTAATTGAAGATATACGTAGATGTGTTTTTATTTTATATATTTTTAATTTTTAAATTAATATTTAAATAATAAATAAACAAATAATTTTTAACAAAAATATTTAAATGTTCCGTTAATTACAGGCAGAATCTCTGAGTAAATTATTTACTTTTTTGGATAAATTACTTCCATCATTGTAGGAGATCCTTCTGTTTTAAATTTTGAGTATGTATTAGCTCGTACCTTTAGAATATTAATTTTTATCTGCCCTTTAAATTCAAAATTCTGAAGTTATAATTTATTTTCCATTTAATTCCACTTATATTCTCTAATATTTAAAATTATTTTTTTTAAAAAAATTATTTAATATTTTTGTTCAACACATTTCCTATTTAATATCTAAATACTGTAATTACTTTCAATATGCGCGCAAATATTAAAATAAAAATTATGGGCGGGTAAATGAGAGAGAGAATGACTAGTAACCTTTCTCTCTAAAAATTTATAGTAAATTGTATTTTAAAGTGGAACACCCTCTCCAATTTATTATAAATTTTAATATTTAACTAAATCTTTATTTCATTTTTAATTCATCCCTTCTTTATTTCTTTAAAAAATAAATTACTAAATTAATTTTTATTAGAAATTTGGGACAAAACCTGTGGCGATTTTACAAAATAAATTTAATTCTAATTAATATTTTCTGCTATTTTAAAAACGAGAGTTGACTGTACATTTACTTTGTGTTTTTAATATTTTTTTAAAAATTTATTTCCGATTTTCTCCTTTTTCTTCAAGTATATTTTCTTTTATTATTCACCTACATATATTCTAATCTAAATCCCCATTTTCCTCAAAAAAATAAAGATTTAGGAAATTCTCATTTATTTTTCTCATTAACGATTTCATACAGCTTTATTTTTAAATTAAAAAAAAAATTTTATAGAAATACATAAATTATAATGAAACGTCGTCATTCAAGTAATTCTCCACCAAATCAATCAGAATTTGTTAATAATAATAATAATATTTTATTTAATAATCAACAAATAACTGCAAATAATTTAGTACCCAATTTTGTATTTCCTCAAAATTTGTTTTCCCCTCAATTCTTGCCGCAACAATTAAATTCTGTTTTTAATGGATTTCAGAGTCCTAAAAAAGTTTTTATTTTTTTAATTTGAATTAAATATTGAGAGATGAAAATAGCTAAAAATTTAAACGAAATTTGAGATTTTTACTTTTAAAAGTTTTTATCAAATCCAATAAATATTCATTTTTTAAAATAAAAATTTATTTTTTAGTCATTTAATGCCGAAAATCCTCTAGAAGAAAGGAAAGCTCAAGAAGAAGCATTACAAAAACTTGGAAGTCTTTTATTTGGGTGTAATAATAATTCTGATTCTAATACAAATTTAAATGAAGACGAGAGTGAGGTATTAAATGTTTTGAATACTTTATTTATTTGGAGGACCTATAAAGAATTCGGGGAGAGTTAATCAAGGGATTTGAAGTTATTACTTGATTTTAATTTTATGAGACTCTAATTCTCAAGGGTGTAAGGCCCTGCTTTCATTTAAGACTTCCATTTTCAAGTGAATATCAAAATCCCATTTAAATTCTTCCCCCTTTCAAAACCCTTAAAATTTTAATAAAAATAATTAAATTTAGCAAAATTTAAACAATAATGGAAATAATCTTTTGGAATTATTTACTTTATTATTAACCCAACAACAACAATCCACAACAACAACAACAATAAATGAAAGTAGCAATTCAGAAGAAACTTTAAATAATTTAATTGGACAATTATTTAATCAAACAGAAAATAATAGAAATTTGAAAACAACAAAGAATAATGTTGGTTTTGAAATAAAGGATTTTTTAATAAGTTTTTATTGGCACCCCTGAAATAATTTTAGACAAAAATGTTGAACAGTCAAGCTTCATTTTTAGATATCGCATAGGGGCTGAAAAATTATATCTTTTAATAAGGGTATCTTAAATAATTGACATCCTTAAAAAATTTATTAGATAACCTTCCCTCCCCTTCCCCCTCTAATTTTTAATCTAATTTAAAGAAAATTATTTTAAATTAAAGTATCTGATTCTGGTATATCCGAATATGAGGTTTAATTGTACATATTTGTTGTGTAACTTTAGGAAGAGTTTTTAATAATTAGAAGTAACGAAGAAAAAAATTCTATTTAACTTTTTCTTTTCTCAAAAAAATAATAAGCAATAAAATTCTAAGAAAATTTAAAATATCCTGATTTATTCAATTTTTATATTTTTTAATAAAATATTTATAGGTTTACATTGATTTTCCTCGTGTCAGTTATTATTTACTCAATTTTTGTTTATTTTAAAAAGAAATTTTTGTATTAATTTTCTTCCGCTTTGTTTTTCCCCCAAAATCTTGACTTAAATCTTGGAAAATTTTTTAAATATTTTTTTTAATTTTTAGGATAACAATTTGGAAGAAAATAATTTAAATTCAATTGAAAACCAAAATTGGCAAAAATCTGAATCTTTAATTGAAAATAGTGAAGAAGGACCCCAAACTTCTAAAGAGCATTTAGGAATAAATGAAAATATTAATTTAAACAAAAAATCTTCAAATAAATTCGGTAAAAAATATTTTTAATAATTAAATTAAAAAGAAAATATAATTAAATGAATATTTTTTAATTTGAGTTTTTTTGATCTTAAATATTCCCAAATTAATTTATGAATGTTTTCTTAATTTAAATAATATTTGGGGTCTTTAAGAATATCCATTTAGTTATCTAAATGAAATTTTTAAAATTTTCTCTCCCATTCTTAATCTCTCTTAATTTTTAACAAACAGCTAATAATAACAATCAACATCCAACAAGCAGTGAAGCACCTTTAGATTTAAGTAATTCAAATAATTTAATTTTACGTCCTCGACCTCGTTCAAATTGTTCTTTTCATTCTTCTGCCTCTTCATTATCTAATACACCAGCAACAGCCCCTCCCTCAAATTTATTTAATAATTCGACAACAGAACAATCAACAAAGTTTAATTCTTCTCAAAATTTGTCTGATTCTCCTTCTTCAATGTTTATGTCATTACAAGCACAAAATCAACAAAATTGTAATAATTTAGATAGATATTAATTATTTTCTCATTTTAATACACTAGTACCAGTACTGCGAAACTTACTTTGTACCACCCGTATTTTTAGCTTCTTACTCACCTAGTACGATTACTCATGTCCCAAATTATGCCTTATTGTAAGAATTTAGGGGACTTTATATTATTTGGGAATATAAAATCCATAGCTTTAAACCACGGGTTATCTCATTAAAAATTCCAACTTTTTAGTATTACCATCATTTCCCCCTCACCACCATATCATTGAAGGCATTCCCCCACATACTACAGCAACAAATACTTTCCTCCATCCAGCAGCTGCATGGTTATTTGGTCTTCCCCCACCACCACAATTAAATAATTCTTTACCTCCTCATTGTTCTCACACATCTCCAAAAAGTCCTTCCCAATTAATTAATAATGTTTGTTCTGCAACATCTTTGCAGCAAAATTTACTTTCATCAATGTGCCATCCACAATCCTCACAATCAGTTAATAATGAAATTTTTATCATTCGAGAATATAAAAATAAAAAATTTTTTCAAAATTAGTTGGCCGATGAAGATGATGATTGGGAACAAATGATGGAAATTAGCTGTACAGATGAAGCAGAAAAGATACGTGAATCGGCTGGGGACAATGCCCAACCCCCTACAGATCCTAATCAATGCATTATTTGCCGTCGAGTACTTTCATGTAAATCTGCATTGCAAATGCATTATAGAACACATACCGGTAATAATAATTCTGATTTTTTAAATTCTGATCTGTTACACCTAAAGGTGAACGCCCCTTTAAATGTCGAATATGTCAACGTGCTTTCACAACTAAAGGCAACTTAAAAACACACATGGGAGTACACAAATCCAAAGCTCCTCTTCGCCAACATATTTTTGCTTTGGGAAGTAATTCTGACAGTCCAGAAAGATGCCATTCTTCTAATGAAAATTTAATTAATTCTGATATATTTTCTGGACAACAACAACGTTTTTCGATGGAAGAGGGTAGCCAGCCATTAAATAATTTAAATAGGTAATTTAAAAGAAATAATTAAATTAATCAAGTCTCTTCATTTTAAAGAAGTTTTCCTTTTCCGCCTTCAATTCTCTTCTCATCATCATCATCAGCCAGTACCGGCAGAAACAATTTAGTTTATGGTTCTTCCCTCCCTCCACATTCTAATATTGGCTCTCTTCCTCAATCCTTCCCTCCAAACTTTCCCCCAACAACATTTATGTCTAATTTTTCCCCTATCAACGGAATACCTCCACCCTTTCCACTATCAATGGCAGCAGATTCTTCACAGGCAGCACTCGCAGCACAATTACAATTATTTTTATCTTCAAATCATCCTCAATTAAATGAAAATAATTCTTCTGTTGATCATGGATTAGCATTAAGTAATTTATTTCTTCCTCCAAAAGATGGGCAAAAAATGGAAGTTGAAAACGGAAGAATAAAAAATGAAGAAAAGAATGAAATGGAAGGAGAGGAGGGGAAAGAGAAGAATGAAGAAATGACATCTTCCTTTAACGTTTCTTCTCCAAATAGAAAAATAAGTGATGAAAATAGTAATAATAATGAAGATAACAACAATAATAATACTTTTGGATTACCGGCATTTTTTATTCAAAAATTGGCAGCTGCTGCTAAATTTAAAATTGAAGAACAATTTTTGTCTTCTTCCTCTAATGTGAAAACTTCTTTTAAGGAAGATGATAATCGTGAGGAAGAAGAAGATGGGAAGACAAAAAAGAAGAAGAAAAGGATAAATAATGATGAAATTGAAGAATTGGAGATGAAAAAGTTTTCTAAAAAGGAGGAAGGAGAAGAGAAAAGAAAGGATGGTGAGGAGGATGAGGAAGATAAAGGAAGAATTGAGTCATCAACTAGTCCTTCAATGCTTGAATCAGTTCCACAAACATCCTTCTCTTCTTCGATTAAAATAAAAGAAGAAATTAAGAAGGAGAAAGAGGAAAATCCTTTAGAAAAGTAAATTATTTTAATTTCCATTAACATATAAAATTATCAAAAAATTATTTTAAAGACAAATAAATAAGTATTTCTTTTAATTTTTAATATTTTTCAGTCTTCAACGAATTTTTTCTGCTGCTGATTCACCCCCACCACAACCTCCCTCCTCTTCTTCTGCGATGCCCCCTTCTGCAGCTTGTTTTCTTTTGGCCCCAATACAAAAACCTCCAAATGCTAAACATCATTGTAAATAATAAATGATTTCAAAAAAAAATTTAAAAATTATATTAAGGTCGTTGGTGTATGAAAGGATTCAGTAGTTCATCTGCTTTGCAAATACATACTCGAACACATACAGGCATATTGCTTTTAATTATAAAAAATCCAAAAAAAATTTTTTTAGGTGATCGTCCATATAAATGTGAAATTTGTGAAAGAGCATTTACTACACGTGGAAATTTAAAAGTACATAAAGGTACTTTCAATAATTTAAAAATAAAAATAATAATTTTATTTAAATTTTATAAGGAACGCATTCACTCCCACAAAATCCTTCTCGTCGTGGCCGTCGAATTTTTGATATGGAAGACACAATTTTGGGAACAATAAGGCAGCAACAACCCCATTTATTCCCACAATCTCCACCATTACCTTCAAATTTTGATGAACAACAACAAAGACAACAACAACAGGCAGCCGCAGCAATAGCTAATTTATTAGCAAATGTTGTTGGAAATAATAATTCTTTTGGAATATTGAATGAAACAGCTACTAATTCTAATACTTCAATCCCTGCTTTGATTAATTCTTCTGCTAATGCTTCGGGTAATTAAAGCGCTTCTTTGATTAGAAAATTATTTATTCACTCAATTTCTGAATTAATTTTGAAATATTCTGAAATTTTACAAAAAAATTTTTTTACTTTCAGTTTCAGAAACACCTTCAGCCTCAAATCAATTATTATCAACAACAACTTCCCCTTTATTGTCAACTACAAATACTTCAAATTTTGCTGCAGCAGCTGCAGCACAATTAGCGGCACTTGGAAGTAATGACGGGCAGCAATTGTTAATGGGGTTATTATTTCAACATTTACAAAATGTTGAAATGTCAGAAAGAATTGAAGTTGAAAGGGAAGAAGGAGAAGGGGAGGAAGAAGAAAATGGAAGGGAAGAAAATGGAAGAGAAGGAGAATTAAAAGAAAGAGAAGAAGAAGAAGATTCTGTTAATAAAACAACAGAGCCTCTTCCTTCTGTAATAAAATTAAATAATAATGAACGGATAGAAGAATATTTGAAAGAAAATATTAAAAAGAAAAATCATTCTAGTGAAAATAATATTATTGTTCCCGTGCATAATACAGCAATTTTGTAGCTTTAAATTTATGTGAAAATTATTATTGACTTTTGTTTTGTAAAAAGAATAATTTAAATAAAAATATTTAAATATATTTTAATTCATGAAAAGGAAATATTGTTTTCATAAACATAAATCTGAAAACATTTATTGGAGTGATCAGAAAAGCTCAGAAAGTGTTTAATAATAAAAAAGAACTTCTCTAAGACTACATTTACAATGAATGGGTGCTGATCCGTGTATTTTATTATACAGCCATTATCAGGAGTAGGCGCATTGCGTTAAATTTTGACCTTCTTTAGAGATTGTCTCTTGCGCCCACCCCTGGCCAGTATACGACCACGCGACACTCAACTTCACACAAATTTTATTGTAAACGCGATGTAGGATCACCCTCTGGACCGAGTTAACAGAGTGAGGATATGATTATAGAGAAGTTCGACTATACTACTACAATAGATTAACAGTTCAATTAAGATTATTTTCTTTTATTCAAACTCCAAATGGTAAAAGGGGAATAAATGTATTTTGTTCTCCACGCTTTCTTTGTCGACGCCAATTTATTAATAAAGCATTAACTGTAGAATTTAGTAATTGTTCTTCTTCTTGATCCATTTCATCAGCAAATTTAAGCGCCTCAAAACTTTGAGGAGTAAATGCTAATTTACAAAAAAAATATACATATTTTCATTCTTATTAAAATTACCCAAAGTATTTCTTCTTTGGTGCTGTAACAGCCAAAGACTAAAAGTTCGGTGTGACCAATTTCCCCCAAAAGCTCCATCAGCATTTAATTCCTGTACATATTTAAGTATATCTAAAGAAGAAATATCTTCTTTATCTGGATATTTAGCTCTTATTTGGTCAATTAAAAGAAGTAATTCTTTTACTTCCATCTAAAATTAAAATAAAATTTTATTTAGAAAATATTTCTTTTTTCGAGCCTCCATTTGTTGTTGTTTCCTTTTATTAGCTCTCCTCTTTGCCCAATTAATTTTTCTTCCAAAATAATGAATTTTTAAAAACATCCTTTAAAAAAAATAATTTTAATTTTTATTTTAATTTTCTCTTAACCATTTCAATTCACTAGCAGCCAAATCTGCACACATAGACAATACTGCTAGTCCAAAAAATACGAAAACAAAAATATAAATTAAAGTCATTAAATAAGATATGTGTGTAGGCATTTCACTCATTGTTAGGTTTGCGACGAGATTAAAAGTAACAAAAAAGCCCTAAAAAGAGATGATAAATTATAAATAGGTAATACAAGATTATTTGTTTTTCTTAAATTAGAGAAAGGAGAAAACATCTCGAAGTTTTAAATATTTTTTGGGTAGCTTCATAAAAACAAAAGATTTAAATTAATAATTTGCCTCAATAAAATTATGTCCACTTCCATCAGCTGCCATATAAACCCAACCACCAAGCATACAAAACAATAATAAAATTGCAGCATTAACAGATAAAGGAAGGCGACGTTTAGTTTCCTCATTTTTCACACTTTCATTTGTTTTAGATTTTTGTTTGTTTTTATTTGGTAATGCATTTACAACCCTTTTTAAAATATTTATTTATTAAAAAATATTTAAAGAAACAATTGTTTATGTCGCCGACGATTGGCAAGTGAAGGTTGTGATGATGTATTAAATGCTACATTTGTTTCTATATTTTGTAAAGTAACTGGTCCTGTACGCCGACGACGTATTCGACAGCATAGTTTACGTAAACGACGAAAAGTACGCTACAAAAATTGAAAGGAAATTCTTTAAAATTTAAAATTAAAACCAAAATTCTATCATATATAGCCAATACAACATCTGACAAAAAACGGCCAATATCTACAGCAGCTAAAACAGTTAATGGAATTCCTAACAATCCATAGCCTATTGACAACCATTGACCGAATGGAGTCATTAGTGTTGCTGAGGCATAACCAGTTGTTGTCTGATAATTTAAATTGTTTAAAAGTTATTTTCGGTTATTCACACAAAAGTTTGTAAATATTATCCTTAACAAAAAGTTTGGAATAGGGCAAATCTTTCATCCTTCTTGTATATATTTGGTAATCTAATTTAGTAGGGTAATCCCTCTAATAACCAACCCAGTTGAAAATTAAATTTGTTATTGTAATTTAATATTTAATAAATCAAAATCACCAAAATAGAGAGGGCATATAGAGTTGAGGACATTGGATCCCATCTTGGTGGGAGTATTTTATCAAGTACAGGTTCTTCTGAGGCACTCAACCGAAATTGTGGGCCTTCAAAAAATTGTGAGAGGCGTGATAGGGAAGAGTAAATTCCTTCTCTTAAAAGTTTTGAATTAAATCGTTTTTGTGAATTTTCTGGATTTTGAATAAAAGAGGAAGAGCATTCTTCGTCAATTGAAGAAGTTATTTGTTCATAAATATTTGCTAAAAAAATTTATAAAAAAATATTTTTAATTTTTATTACAAATTTGTAAAAGTCTTTTGCTTTGTTCTAATCTTTCAGCTCTATGTTCAATTCTAGCAAATGCCCAAGCACCTACCAAAAGATATAAACATAAAATTACGTATAAACAAATGTGAGGCAATGCTATTTTGAATAGCTTAAATTAAAATTTAATTATAAAAATTAAAAATATTCCCCACACCTGTTTCATACGATCGCTTTCATCTTTTTCTTTATTCTCTTCTATTCTTGCTTCATTTCCCCCACAAAAAGAATGTCTTCCACTAATTGAAATATTATCACTAATACCTTTATTTTTTCTAATTTCATATTTATTACTTTCGTTATTAATTGTTGTATTATTATTACAATCACCCTCCATTAATTTATAATATTATTTTTTCTAAAACAGCGTATAGATCAGGGATGTGCCGAAACAGATTTTAAAAAGCGAAAAACGAAAGGCGAAAGTCCAAAAAAGGCGGAATCTTGGCGAAAGACGAAATGGCACACCCCTGGTATAGATATTCATTTAATACTTGTTTTGTGTAAAGCAGTTTTAAAAATATTTTTGTCGAACTAGTTAAATAAATTTGATAAATGGGAACTGTTTAAGAAATGACCTTGTAATTGAGTAAATACGATATACAATTAAATACTAAAATATTTAATAATGAAAATTGTTAGGCCAACCATAATTTTATAAAAATACATACAAACAACCAGCTGAGGTCTTTTAACTATTTATTACAAAGCTTTTAACTGGTGTATACATAAAATATAATTATTTTCTGGTAATTTTTTATGAAAGAAAATAATTTATCTTTAAAAAATATAATATTTTATTTTTGTAAAAAAGACAAGGAAGGAAAACTAAATATGGGATATAAACCTTAGTTAACTCACAAAGAGTTTTAATAAATCCTTAAATTCTCTAACAAATAATCTAGGAATTTTAACATTTCCCTACCAATTTAATTAATTGAAAAAATTCTTTTAAACATTTATATATAAATTAGAAAATTATTTTTAAAAAATAATTAAGAAAATATTTAAATCATATAACACAAATATAAAGTAAATAAGGCTGACTGTAAATATGCTGAAATTGAAAAATGGGAAAATTTTTAGATTCTTAGAAAGGTCTTCCTTTGATTTTTTCAGATAAAAATTGTTAAAAGACAAGCCTGTCTCTATAATGTATGCGTGAGTTGTTTATCCATAAAACGACGTTTAGCAAAACAAAGCCACCACTAGAAAATTAAAAAGTTTTTTACAGGTCACTATAGTCAAAACCAAAGACAGGTTTTGACTAGTGACCGCCATCGGAACGGACCCGGCCGGATTTTCCGGGGTCCGGATCCCCAATCCGGGTTTTTTTCGCGATCTCCGGATATTTCCGGACCGGAATAATCAGGAAAAATCCGGCCGGATCCGGTCCGGCATGAGCGTGAAATTCAAAATCCAGGACCCTCAAAAATGATTTTGCGGGTCACTAGTTTTGACACTTAATAATACTATAAAAATAGTTACAAACTTTAGAAGGCATTCCATCAGGATTCGGAAATATTCGTTCAAGTAAACGAACACCCATTTCTTGTCTCAATTGTTGCAAATAATTGCGCATTGTTTCTAAAAAGTGATTTGAAAAGATTTTTTTAATAAAAGAAAAAACCTTCATCTTGTGCATTAGCTGGCGGTTTAAAAAGACTAGGAAATGGGAAAGCTTGTTCACCAGGAATTGGAAATCCGCGTCGTGAGTCTAAAGCCAAAGTTGTCAATTCTTTGCTTGCTTGTAATTTTTGGACAATCTAACAAAATAAGTTGAAATTATCATGAATATTTTGAGAAAAAGGTCTTATTAGTGTCTTAAATTTTAAATATGCTCTAGTCGTACCACATATACTTCCACTTTGAAAAAGTTGCGTTAAAAGTAAACGCCACAATTTTGGCGCACAGCCTATCTTAGTCACCCCCACCCCCCCTGAAATCTCTGGATACGCCCTTGCGTAACATGCAAACCGCTAACAATAAGTCAAAAAATGATAAGAGAAAAGGAAAATAAGTCAGAATATTAGAATAAAAAACAAAGGTAATCCTTACTTTTTGATGTAGAATCCTCTTCAAACATTCAGTTATGTAGAGAAACAAGTAAATCAAAGTTCTATCAGCAGGTCCTTTTATCTCAAAATTGCGAAAGAACACATTTGGCCTAAAATAGAGAAGTGCCTCATCAATTACATCTTCATAAGTTGAATCATCTTAAATTAATTTTTAAAAATTTTCTTTTTTAACAAATACCAATTCTTGTTGCCGGTCCTCTAAATGAAGTTTTTAATGGCAAAATGGCCATATTTCCAACCAAAGACTGAGGAGATTTTTGATCGACATTATCCGCATCCAGGTTGAACTTTGAGTGAAAGGCCTAAATTCAAAAATTGTCAGCTAAAAATTTTAAAAGAAACTAACCGGCATTCAAATAATTAATATGTATGGCACCAAAAGTAGAAGAAAAGTAAACTAATTTACAAATAAAGATGAAGATAGAATATTTAAATATAATTAAGAAATAAACTTTATAAACATCAACATTTAAAGTAAATTAAAATTTTTATCAAAAATATAAGTCAAATAAGAGGTAAAAAGAGACTCATATCACAAGTCAAAAAATATAACAAATTAACAAATAAAAAGTAAACAAAAAATAAACTACATAGGTACCTGAATTAGACAATTCCTACTTTAATTTTTGTTTCTAACTACTACTAATTCCTTGCTCATCATCTACTAATTTGTGTTGCCGATTGCGATCATCGTGTTCACTTTCAAGTGATTCCTTTGTTGCTCGCATAAATTCAATCGAACAAGAAGTTAATAAAGAAATCCAATTCTTTAATTGTTCTTGATTTTCTGTAGCCATTAAATATGTTTGTCCAGTTCTTAATTTAAAAATTTTTGGATAAAAACCTAACGGTTAAACGTGCTAGAAGTTAGAAATCTGTTCAATCTTTGACAATTGAACAAATGGGAAAATAAACATAATCTAAATTTTTTTAGTTAGTGAATGCAAAAAGTCCTAATCTAAAAATCCTGCATACCCTAATCCCAATTTAAAATTTAAATTACAACAAAAATCTCAATTTTCAAATTTAAAAAGCAATCTAGCTACTTACGTATTAAATCTTATAACAAAGGAATGTTCCATTCCAGTAGAATTATCATCTGCAAGTTCAACAACACAATCTTCCATTATTATAAGAAGTAAAGGGATCTCTAACCTCTCTTCTGATTTAAACAAAAATAAAAGATTGGCTTTGAGAATGGCATAAAGTCGACGGCGAGAATCATCCTAATGATTTTAATTAAAAATTACGAAAAAAATTTTAATACTTGAAGTACATGCAAATAACCAGAAATCTTTTTATCATATGCCTTATCTGAAATTAATGAAACAAGTGAACTACCGTTGGCAATCATTAAAGTCTAAAAATTAAAAATAAAGAAAATACAGTTAGGTAATTTAGTGAGTTCTTAAAGAAATTTCCGAGACTCTAAACGAAAAAATTGAGTTTAAATTAAATACAGTAGGGGCACGCCCAAAACAACGCGCAGCCATAACAGCGCAAAGCCAAACTTGCTTCAAGATTTTCGAATCTAAACAAATTTAGTATTAAACGATTCCTCTCTTCGAGCTAAAGAGATTGGTACCAAAATTGATAAGGGCCAAAAATTTTCCAGCTAGTTAAGGCTTTGCGTTGTTATGGCCGCGCGTTGTTTTGGGCTGTACCCAATACAGTATACTTTAATTTTTCTAAATAAATGACATTTCGTCCACTTTATGAGTCAACTGTTTTCGGGATTTTTTTTTGTGATTTTCTTTTTATTAACTCATAAAGTTATCCAAAGTATTCGATTTTTAGTCTCGTTTTGGCCAAATCTTACTCATTTTTATTTAGTTTATTTTGACGATTTCATTCTAATTATTCATGTCCGACCAATTTTCAGAGTTGAGCAATGATGAGCTTCGACAAGAATTGATCAAAAATGGTTTAAATTTATTAAAATTTACTAATCTCTTTTTAATAAAAATAGGCATTCCTTTTGGACCGATTGGATCAACAACACGAAAAGTCTATGAGAAGAAATTGCAAAATCTTCTGGAAAATGGAGTCGAACCTTTGATTGCAAATAATGAGACTGGAATTACTAATGGTGGTGGACATGAAGCTGTGGATACAATTGATTTCTCAAACGATAATGGTCACACGCCGAGTCGGGAAGTTAGTCCAGTTCTTGTGCAACACACAAATGGAGTGACGGCAAGTCCTCAACATCGAGAGGTATATTTTTGATAAAATCGAAGTTCTAAACTAGGTCATAGGTAAAAATTTTGGGTAAACCAAGGTTTAGGGTTTTAATTTTTTTCCTTCCCAAGTTTTTCTTATTTTGTACAGATTGATCATACTCTTCCTCAGATTGATCTTTTATTAATGTCATTGAATATGCCACAGGAAAATAGAGAAATTAAGGAAGGAAGAAAGTCTGACCATCTGTACAAAATTAAAAACTTGGGTAAGAAGAAAGGTGAACTTCAAACCTTGGTTTACACAAAATTTTTGTAAAGTAAAATTTTACAATTTTTTTATGTTTACTTTTGGAAATTCCTGTTAGGCTTGAATTCCTATGACTTCTATTTTATTCTTTATATTTAAGGGAAGTGCCAGACCTGGTGCTGAGAATGATAGTGACAATGAAGAGGATTCTTGTGAAAGTGCTAGGTTTTATTTTAATAATTTTCTTTGATTTAATTATTCTACTTTTAAAGAATACTCTCGCCAGATGAGGCTCGTGCATTCCGTTTGAAATTCAATCCACCATCTGACAACGGTTCTTACACTGGGGTTTATCGCCGTCGAGGAGTTGACGATCGACGTTTGACACCAGCCAAAACACCACCTCCACCGAGCAAAGGAAAATCTTTTCGTCGTGTGGCTTTGGGAATGTTCATCGCTTTTGTTATGCTGAGTTCTGTTGGGATTCTCGTATATTTGGCTTTTGGACCAGAAATGAAAAATGCTTTGGAACGTTTCGATTTCTCTGTGTTCTATGCATCGCTGACTGGAGGGAAACAAAGTAAAGAACCTGTTATTTCTTCAAATAAAGGAAATTAATTTTTTGGTGGTTTTATCGTTATTTTAATTTTATGGAATCTGTCAAAGTTAAGTTTTTGTTCTATATATATTTAAGTATTTAATAATTTATTTTGTTTTGACGATTAAGGATTGAAGTTAAATATTTCGATCTTAAGTATCCTAAATACCCTTTTTTTCAACATAAACTCGCATTTTTCTCCCCAATTTTTGACATTTAATTTACAATAAACTTTGTTTTGAGACCTCTTTTTTGTTATAATTTTTTGTTAATTTGAGCAAGCAGTATTTTAAAAATCTACCTATATAAAATGACCATATATACCTAAATAACATTTTATTTAAATTGCTCAAATTTCCTCCTCTTGCATTTATTGTATTGATCTTAATCGAATTTTGTTCAAAATACACCTCTCTAAAATTATTCAATTTTATCATATTAGCCAAATATTTTCTATAACCAATAAACCTTTTAATGGAATTTGCTCGACATTCTTTTAAGTTCATAAAAATGACTGATTATGTGTATTTCTCTTCGGTAACAAAAATCCATTTTCTAAACGCAGACCACAATTTTAAAAAAATTCCTCTTATTTTAAAAATTTTAAGTTAACTTTTTTAGTATCTCAAAAAAAATTATTTTTGGTATGTACTTTTATCGAAGTTAAATGATTTTTTTAAATAGTCAGGACAAGATCATTTTTGTTAATTTTACATTGATTTTCTTTAAAAAATTTGCCAACAGAAAAGAGGTTAAAGGAACCGTGCAACCAACTTTACTACTAATTGGGGTACTGCCATTTTCAATTTTCGTTTCAAACAAATATGGGAATAGGGTCCAATGGGAAATGGTTGGGTGGTTGGAAAGAAGGAAAACAGGTCAAAAGGAATTTGGAAAGGAATGCAAAAGACGATTACAACAGAAAAAATTCACTGCAATTTTTTAAATTCTTCCTTTTTTATTGTTTCCCATTTATTTTTAATAAGTAAATTAGTGACTACAAAATCGAACAAATTATTGAATTAAATATTTGATTGGGTGTCCGTTTCTTAAACATAACTGAATGCCGGAACGTCCCACTTGTGTACCGGCCGTTTGTGTACCTGGTCATATTTTGGGCCATAACTTTTTTGATTCTTAACCGACTTAAATTATTATTATATCAATCGAAAGCCCTGGATGTGAGGATTATTTTCGCCAGCAGGATTGATTTGATCAGATCATGTTATAAAAAGTTATATTACGATAAATGCGCTCAATCGTGATTTTGATCTTTATCTGTCTGTAACTTTTTGTATGATGATCTGATCAAATCAATCCTGTTGGCGAAAATAATCATCACATCCAGGGCTTTCAATTGATATATTAGTTATTTAGATTAATTAAGAATCGAAAAAGTTATGGCCCAAAATATGGCCAGGTACACAAACGGCCGGTACACAATGATCCCCTACCCCTGAATGCAATACTACATTGTGCAATTTTCAATTGTGGAATTGTCTCACTGTCAATTTGATGGCCACCCTGTAGATACCGGTAGCTGTTCCATAGGGTATTGAGACAATTCCCAGTGAGACAATTGCACAGTGAAGGGTGGTTAAGTGCATTTAAGTGAGAAGGTGGATTGAAATTCTAACTTGTCAAAAGTTCGAACCCTATCAGCAGAGGTGGGTCGGAATTCCGATTTCCGACTTCCGATTTCCGACGTTTTTTTCCTTCCGATTTCCGAAATTTTGGAAAAATTTCCGATTTCCGAGAATTTTTGAAGCATATTTCCGACTAGAGATTTTTCCAAAATTCTCAAAATTTTCGCCTGCGGCGCAAAAATTCGAAGAAATCTAACTTAAGGACCTCCAAAATTCTCAAAATTTTCGCCTGCGGCGCAAAAAATGGAAGATTTTTGGCTTAAGGCTCCCAAAAATTCCAAAATTTTTGCCTGCGGCGCTGTAAATGGAAGTTGAATAGTATATCGGAGGATTAGGTTAGATTAATGTGGACTTTGAGTTATATCGTGTGATTACGAGGGGTCATAGGCTCTATCAGTCCTCAATTTTAAACTCCAAATATCCCTATTAATTCTATAAATTCTCTGATATCCCGTCTAATCTACCAAATCCCACAATATCTCTTTTAATCTCTTCGAATTTGACTTTTGAGTTGCAAAAAGAACTTTACACACTCAAATTACACTTAAGAAGGCCCATAATTTACCACCTTACAATTTTAAATAAATTTCAGTTATGAAAATAAAAATTTTATTTCCGATTTCCGCCTTCCGATTTCCGATTTCCGGCGTTTTTTTCCTTCCGATTTCCGATTTCCGAAAAAAAATTTTGATTTCCGATTTCCGAGTTCCGACTTTTGAGCCATTTCCGATTTCCGACAGTTCCGATTTCCGACACCTCGGGCTGTTCCGACCCACCTCTGCCTATCAGCATCAAATAATTTTTAAATAAAATTTTTTACTTTAAAATTCAACTTTGAATTTATCAAAATTACCTAACAAGATTATTAAATATTTATGTATTCTTTCGAAAATCTGCATAAGTGCCAAGGATTTTTCGGTTTCGTTCTTCGACTTGATTTCGGTTTTCTGAAAAATTTTATAAAGAACTCTCCGTAAAATAGGGGGGGGGGGGGGCGAAGCTCCATGCTTTTTTAATTTCCCTACTGTAATTTTGTCCCACGCGAGCCACCTGTTAACTGTTTAATTGTATAGAGCCTAAATACTGTTTAGGCTTCATATTTTGGCACTTAAGTTGGCGTTCTATAATTTAATAGAATAAAGAGATTTCGTCCCCTATTGTTTTTTTTCAGAAAGATACTAGTAACTTTTCTTTGCTAATTTTCAAGTGTAAAGAAGAGAGACAACAAATTTTCACTAAATTCCTGTTAAGTTAGTGCTTGCTTTTGAAACTGTGATTTATATTATAGATTTAAAGAGATTTCACTGCAGTTTATTTTAAAATTTAGGATTCTCTTGTGTCACCATGTGCTTGAAAAATTACTCCCAAACCCTAATTTTATTCTTACATACATACATATTACACCTAGAGCAAATCACATCCCTCTTTCTCACACTGGCTTCTTTTCCCTGTATGTGATTTTCTTCGTTTTAGCCCCTCGTTATCCCAGTCATTGAAATGTAGTAGTAATGTTAGCATCTAACTGTGAATGTACGTGTGTCGCTTTTATCGTGTGGACTCGTACTATTGAAGTGGCAGCAGAACCGGTCTGTCGCCTTTGGGGATGGTCGCGGCCATTACAATCCCGGGTACTCTCTCTTTTCTATTTTCTCTTTTTATGCGTATGGACTATCTTCTTTCTATCCCTTTTCATTGGCCATATCTCTCATTTAACTGTCCTTTTTATATTTTCTCTTCCCTGCATTTTATGTCCTATCTCTATTTTTAAAGCATTCTTGTCCCTAATGTACATCTCGAAAAGCCAGAAAAATAAAATCGATTTCCGCTCTCATAGTTGTTCTGTAGCTTTAGCAGCTGCGACGGCAACGCAGCAGGATTTCGTCTTCATATAACGGAGTGCGGCAAAGCGGCGACACGGCGTTGTGATGCTTCTGCTACTACTACTATCATCTTCGTCATGAAGAGAATTCTTTCCTTTCTTTGCTTATATTGGCATCCTTGCGCTAATACATCGTGTATAGTTCGTTTATAACACAACAATGTGGTCTTTTATTTTGGTTGATTGGCTATCAGCCTGTTTCTTTCTATTAAATATTGATGGGTGGGGGAAAGGGTAAAGAAAAACTAAGGAATAAAAACAGGTAACGCGCAAAAATCGTCATAATAATCCAAAATTATCCAAATACCATTCTTATTTTTTTAGAAATGGTTTTTCTATGAATAATGAACGATTAATAAATGCATTGCACTCTGCGCATTAAAAATTGCGCCGGATGAAGTTCTGGTTGTTATTAGAGAAATACATTTCAATACAAACTTTAATATACTAACTTTTAAATTAATTTACTCAACAACAACAAACTGCATTTATCAATCAAAAAATTCTCATCAAATTACTACTTGCTATTTGCTTCATTTTTTAAATTACGAATAAGTGCTATAACTGCGAAAAGTTACTAACGCAGTTGAAGCAGAAGGATTCATCTTCTGTCGGCAAAACGGGCCGACTCACTGGCTTCTCAGTGGGGCCGATGGCCTGTTGTCTGAGCGAGGAGGCGCGTGAACAGAAGCGCATTAATCAAGAAATTGAAAAACAATTACAACGAGATAAGAGGAATGCACGTCGTGAGCTCAAACTCCTCCTATTAGGTTTATCTTTGAATTCTTAACTTTTTAAAATTTACATCTTAGGCACGGGTGAATCTGGCAAATCCACTTTCATCAAACAGATGCGAATTATCCATGGTAGTGGTTATTCGTTGGAGGATAAACGACAGCATACTCGTCTTGTCTATCAGAACGTATTTATGGCAATGTAATAATTATAAATTTAGGGAATTGACGTGCATTAGAATTAGGTTAAAGTTAGGACACTAGTTCTGACAAATCAGACTATGACGGCAGAGATATTTTTGGGAGAGGTTCATTACACCTGTTAAGTTCAATCAACTTAAGAAATAGGCCTTGTTTGTCCGTTGAGGATATTTCGTCTTTGACGTTATATCCCTAGGCCCCGTTTTATTGACTTATGTTTATAAGACTTCAATGTGTCTGCTTAGTGATATTAATAACCTAATGAGGGTTTTTTTATAGTGAAAGTTACTTTCTAACAAATGTGATATACCTAATTATTTTCAGGCAATCCATGATACGGGCAATGGAGACGCTGGCCATCCCTTATGGGGAAGCGTCATCCGAAGAAAAGGCCAATGTTGTTCGAGCAATTGATTATGAAAATATAACCACATTTGAAGAGCCTTATGTAAGCTATATTGCCGATTTGTGGACAGATCCGGGCATTCAGGAGGCTTATGATCGACGAAGGGAGTATCAGCTTACTGACTCTGCTAAATAGTAATTTTTATCTTAATTGGCTTGTTTTGAATTTATATTTTCTGGCTAAAATTTCCCTTCTTGCTTTATTGGGATCTTTTGAAAAAATGTTTGATTATTGTAGGAAGAATAACAAACTTCCGTATTTTTCATAACTAACTTATTTTTAAATAGTTATTTGACCGACGTGCGACGGTTGGCTGAACATGGCTATGTGCCAACGGAACAAGACATTCTTCGAGTTCGTGTTCCCACAACTGGAATAATTGAGTATCCATTCGATTTGGAGCAGATTGTTTTCAGGATGGTTGATGTTGGTGGACAGGTTTTGTTTGCTTGAATATAATTTGGCACATAACTTATTCCCTTATTGGGTGACTTCAGTCATTTTTTATGACCTATGGGCTATAGATCCACCCTTTAAATAAATTTCATATTATTTTAAGAGATCTGAGCGTCGTAAATGGATACATTGTTTTGAGAATGTCACTTCCATAATGTTCTTAGTCGCCTTGTCCGAATATGATCAAGTTCTTGTTGAGTGTGACAATGAGGTTTTAATATTTATATTATTCATTATTCCTTGATTTCATAGAACCGTATGGAAGAATCGAAAGCGCTCTTTCGCACTATTATAACTTATCCATGGTTTCAAAACTCATCTGTAATTCTTTTTCTAAATAAGAAGGATTTGTTAGCGGAGAAGATTCTCTACTCTCATTTGGCTGACTACTTTCCCGAATATGACGGTATTTTTTTAAGTGTCTCTTATAAAGAGATTGCTCTCAAAATTGTAGAATAATTTAAAGATTTTTGTTTTTATGTATTAATTCTCTTATTAGGCCCTCCACGAGATGAGATGGCTGCTAGGGAGTTTATATTGAAAATGTTCGTCGATCTAAATCCGGACACTGAGAAGATTATTTATTCACATTTCACTTGTGCCACAGGTTTTTGTTATCTAAATTTTTCTTAAAAATCTGGTTCGTTTTAAGATACTGAAAACATTAGATTCGTCTTTGCAGCGGTAAAGGATACAATTCTGCAGCACAATCTGAGGGAATACAATCTCGTTTGAAGGTTTTTAAAATTAAATCTTCACAAAAATTACATGGAAATTATCCCTTAACTTTTCTCAATTTCTTTCGAGAAATACAACCCTTTTTTCGTTATTTTCAAATCAGTCAAAATTGCTTCTTTTGCTCGATTCTTTATTTAAGTTCTTCAATAATTGAGAGTGGATTTATATATTTTCAGAATCTGCGTCTTTCAGTTTAATTCTTACATTAAACACTAATTTAACTTTTTTTGCCTTCTCGGATGGAGATCCATTTTGAGTATAAATCCATTCTCTCAAAATAATTAAAAATGTCTTTGTTAGGCGGCGTAAGTGAATTTGTTGTAAACACTGCCGGTCCTCTATTCGAATTTTGTTTTTTGGTATGTATCATTTCACAATTTCTAATGTATTTATTTATAAAGTTCAAGTAATTATTGTGAAATGAAGCTACCAACTTATTTTTTTATTAACTAATTTGGGTTCAATCCACGTGATCGAAACTATTAACGTTTCCGAAGCCGTTCAAAGGGGTCCTAGCTCAACCGTTTAACAAATTTTAATGTCTTGGTATCATTGGATAAAGAATCAAATACAAGATACTAAAAAATTAAAATTCATGACAGGTTGATAAAAAGTGTTGTCTTAAGATTAAATTTTTCAAAAAAATTTTCGGAACTTTATCGATCATAATTTTTTTATCGTTTAGTCGAGAATTTTGATTTCACGCGATCTTGTAGTGTATTTAATTCTCTATCCATTGGTATTAAAAACAGTGGCATCCCTTCTTAAGTTATAGAGCTTGGACTCGAATAAATTAAGCAGTACCCTAACATTTATACTTTACCATAAATCTAGAGGATTATTTAAAAGTATGTTTTTGATTCATTAACGGACCTAACAATAAGTTTTTTATCTTGTGGAAATGGACCCAAAATTTATCCACTTCAAATATGGTATATTTTATTCATCTTTACATATTTTTATTTCCCCATGGCCATTCCTATTTTAGCCTCAATAGTCCAAATTTGTTTATTACTTATTTGCTTTTTATCTAATAAAATTATGTGGAAGCTATTATTACAACATTTTTAAAACAGTGCAGATAGAAGATTAAAGAGACTAATGGTAGAAAATATTTTGGGAGTTAGGACTAACTGTCCATCCCTGCCACATAAACTATAATGTATAATAATAATGTCTCTTAATTAGTTATTTGTCCCAGAATCTGCGCGTAATTTTCCCATTTCCTACTTTTTTTAATTGAATGGCCAATGTTTCCACCTTATTCTTTTCAAATAAATGCTTTGTTTTTATTATATTTGTTTTTTAATTCTGAAAACATGTTAATTTTTTTTAAATAATTGATATTGTCTACTACTATATAACTATTATTATATGCTCCCCCATTTTTATAATCTTTCATTAATATTTTCTGCACAAATTTATATTTCCTCAAGCACAAACGCACAACAAAATTGTTGTTTAACTAATCGCTAATATTTAAAAGATTACACATAAACATACATTTTTTCAAGTTTTCACCTATTTTGCTGCCACATCCATGCTAATATATATTAATAATTGCATAATTAAAGGTTTAAAATCTATGGGTTTTTAAAGGAGTTGATCATTTTGCTTTTTTAATGAGAAAAGATCCAAATGGTCTTTTAAATGTTTAAGGGGGAGAGGTGAGGAGAGTTTAGATCTAATTTTCATTTTGTTAATGAAAATTAAATATCCCATTTTGTAAATTTAACTGGATTTTGATATTTTAAAAATTATTATATTCATGGGTTTTCAGAACTAAAAAACTGAAGTATCACGTAATAGTATTTCAATATTTTAGTACAACAGAGTTGGGGATTTTGCCTATTAATTTGTCTTGGGCCTGCCACGACCATCAAATTTCTTATAAATTTGTCATCATGCTTTTAAGTACCTAGCCTCCAATTGAAGTCCACCTCTAATACAAGCCTACTCAGTGACCCATTGAAAAATTTTACGGTAATTGCAAACATCTTTGGTCAATTAAAACTTCATACAAAATTTATTTTTCATTGTCGAATAGGAAATATTATTGGATAAATTAAAAAAAAATTTATTATATTTATTATAGTACAACTGAATAATAAAAAATCTAAAACGATCTTTCGAACAAATTTTGCTTGTTTTCTGGGATTAATATTTATTTTACAATATCATGCACCTGCCGAAAGTTTAATATCTCTTAATTCACTCATTTTGTAAATTTTGTCAATGTCATGTAGTTCGCTAATCCAAACTTTTTGTGGTTCTGTACCTCTTCGTTTTGGGGCGGGTTCTTTTCCATTGGAAGAATTTATTTGACGTTTAGCTGATTCCCGTGAAGTGAAAAATGCGTCCATCTAAATAATAAATTTATCCCTCAATATTATCCCCGGAGCTTGTTTTAATTTACCTTCTCAAAAGAATCGTGTCCCTTCCAGCCCATCAATTCGTCGATGTCACATGGTATTCTAGTGAAGCTGAAAATTTTATAATTTATTTTAAAATTCAATGTTTATTTACATTTTACGTAAACGACCACGGCGTGAAATCCTTCGGCGATTCTGAAAATAACTTTAATTTTTTAATAATTAAACTATTTCACGAATGTACACTATTTTTGTACACTATTTTTACTTTTTATCAATATTTATTCCTTATTTCCTCCTACCTCTGATCTTGTCTTTTTCTTTCCAACAATTTCTACAACTACATTCCCTCCTTTTACTTCTGATTTTGTCAAATCCTCTTTAGTAGTGGTAAAATTCATTAATTCTTCTGTTTTGCGTTTTCCTTCAATTTTTTCACCACTTGCTCTCTTTTGTGGAGATAAACGTCTCAAATTCTCTCTTTTTTCTGCTGCTTTAATAGATTCTGAAGGTTTTGATGATGATTCTGCTGTCGAAACATCATTTTGTATTTGTTGTTTAGCTGCTCTTCTAATAGTTTTTTTAGGTTCAGGTCTTTGTTGTTGTGCTAATTTAAGTTTTGTTTCTTGATTTGGAATTGTTTCTTTCTTCTTTTCCTTTTCTTTCCCATCTTTTTCTTTAACTTTATTTTTATTTTCATCTAAATGTCTTAATTCTCTTTGACGCTTCTTCTCTTCTTCCGCCTTTTTAAAAGTATCGCTAACTTTGTCAAGCTTAAATTGATGCTCCGCTTCCTTTGTTCGTTGACGAACTTCAGCTGTTGCACTCTTTAATCCATGACTGACATCTCGATATTCACTTTGAAGTTTGCGCCTATCTTTATGTATTTGGTCTCGAAGTTCGGTCATCTATATATTTAAATGTATATTAAGGAAAGTTTCTCTTTATAGTCAGTTTTTACAGACAGAATTTCTCTCAAAATCTTTTCCTTGAATTCTTTTAATACCCTCCCTAGTAGTGGATTAAAAATTTGAGTGACAAGAATTAACAATACCCATAAAAACCCAACATAACTGTGTGAATTAGTCTTATCAGGGAAGCTAATAACGGATAATTATTATCTAAGTTCACCTGCTTATCGAATTCGTCATCAGGTTCATGTACGGGAATTGGAGTTCTTGCACGTTGTTGTCTTTCTGCTTTTTTCTTTTCATCCTCTTCTTTTGGCTCTAAACGTGTAGATCTTTTGTATGTTATTGGCTCATTTGGAGTTAACACAATTGGAAGAATCGGTTCAGAAGGTTGGTAACGTGGACGAGATTTGGCAGTGGCAGATTCGACCATCTGATTTAAAAAAATTAAAATAAACTACAAAAATATAGGGGTCTAGTTGCAATTAAAAAGTGTATATTAAATGGGAGAGTTTATAAAATAAATGCCAGTTTTTGTTATTTAAATAGATAACCAATAATTCATGGCGGATTCTTCTTAAATTAAAAATCTCATAATAAATTTGGCGTTTTGTCTCTTTAAATTTAAAAGCTGGATTCATTTTTTAATAAAGAAATACCAAATAAAATTATTTTTTGATACATATTTTAACATTTTTATTTAAGAATAAGTAAAAGGGGGGGGGGCATTATTTTTATTTTAATAAATAAAATAAATATAATTTTAAGGAAGATGATCGAAATAAAATTGGCCAAAAATCAAATTAAGGATCGATTGACTAATATATCCTTTTAGTAAAATATATTCACCAACAGAACAATAAATATCTGTGTAATTATTCTACTTAAACTTTTGAACGTTAAAATAAGTTAAAAATGTTCTAAGCCATAGTTTAAAAAATTATTTCCATATGTTTTTTAAATTATTCAATTTAAAAAATTATGTATTGCCATAACACATTACCAAATAAACTTTTCAACCTTTTCAAGCTCGTCAGAATAATAGTGATACATCGAAAAAATAGGCCCCCTCCAACATAAGCCCCCTTCTAAAATAAGCCCTCTTTAGAGATCGATCGAAAAATAAGCCCCAGGGCTTATTTTAGAGGAAATACGGTATTCTAAGGATACTCAACAACCCAACAGAATTGTCTATCTACTATTTTATTATTTACCTTTGCCACTTCTTCAGCTGTTTTTTTCTTCATTTCTTCTGTTGCCTTCTTCTTTGCTAAAGCTTTTGCTGCTTCCTCTTCCAATTTCTTTCTTTTCTCTTCCTCCTCCTTCAACTTTTTTCTCTTCCTTTCCTCCTCTTCTTTTATTTTTTTCTTCTTTTCTTCTTCTTTTCTCTTCTTTTCATCCTCTTCTTCTTTTATTTTCCTCTTCCTTTCTTCTTCCTTCCTTTTCTTCTCTTCAATTTCTTCCTTTGACGGCGCTTGTATTGTTTTTGTTTGTTCACCAATTTTGACTTTAGCTTCTGCCATTGGTTGAACGACTGCTTTTTTGGCAAAATCTGTTGTTGGTTTTGTTTGTCCAGGTAAATGGCGAGCAGATTCCTCCGCGCGTCCTTCTTTCAGATTTTGTTCACGGACATAGGTCTCTTCACGACTGATCTGAAATAGTTTGTGTAGATTTATTATTTATTAAATTTATTATTTCTAATTATTACCTTCATTAGAAATAATATTTACAGGGATAAAAAGGGTAATCTCTATGGCATGTTTAGGTTCTTCTTCTTTTCTCCGCGTTAACTCTTCTTTCCTTAATACGTTTGCAAAATGTTTATCGAGATTCGACTGTCTCTAAACGATAGTTCTCATCCCCTTCGTTCCCATGTGTTTACCCTTACAAAGGTTAGCCTTCCATTTAAAACTGGCTAGCCTTCCAGATTTAAAAATTCCTCGAGGACCAAAAATTATAATTACCTTTTTATTTCCATCATGTCCCAACTCTTCTGACACTTTTGGTTTTTTCACTTCTATTTTTGTATCAATATCGAGAATCATTTCTTCCGGCTCTTCTGCAATTTCTTCATCTTGTTGTTCTACAGATTGTAAAATGACTAGTTTAGGTTCTTCTTTTTTCTCTTCCTCTTTTACTTTAATTAAAACATCTTCACCACTATGTACACTTTCAGCAGTTTCGCCAGAAGTCGAAGAACGATAAGAACGGGAAATACTCTTTAAAATTTTTATGTAATTGTCATTAAGGTTACTGCTCCAAAAACTTTTAGGTTCTGATACCCGGTTCCCGTTATGTACTATATCTGGTGATTTTTTTCATTAAATCGAGTTGAGGAACATTTAAAATGTCGGAAATAGACTGTTCTTGCAAGTTACTGATCCAAAAATTTGAATCTTACTTAAGTATTTTAGCTCCTTTCAACTTACCCTATCATCCAATGATCTACTTCTAGTATAACTTCTTCCATCATCACTAATCTCTTCACTTTCTTCATCAAAAGAACTGGACGTATATGTTTCGCTCGAGTAAGTACCACTTGTTGTTGTACTGTATTCCTCTTCGTCGGATGGACGCATAGCTGCTTGTTGAACTAAAGTGAAACCAACTTCTACATCATCGCCAATACCAGAACCTTTTAATTAATTAAAAATGTCTTAGCCTTTAGAAATTTCAATACCTGTTCCCTCATCAGAATATGACTGTCCTGAAGTACCCCAAGAATCACTCATCCCATCATAACTTATTGATGCTGTAAATACTGGTGGCGGTAAAGCATTAGCTTCTGACAAACGTTCCGCTACTTTCTCGCGCCTTTCGAAAGGCAATTCAAAATCAGATTCATAACCAGAGAGTTGCAAAGTACGGCAAACCGTTGCCTCATCCACATCCCAATCAGATTCCCATGATTCTTCATCACTATAATCTTCATCTTCATCAGAAAACTCTTCATCAGAATAATCCTCATCCGAATAACTTTCACTTCCCTCGCCATCTGGTGCCGCTAATTTCAATGTTATTTGAGCATCAACTTCACTATTATTATTAGTCTTCTGTTTATTTTCAATAACTTCTTCTGTAGATTTTTCGCCTTCTTCTGGTTCTTGCATTGAAGGGCAGGTTACCAATAGTAAAGGAGGAGGTATTTGACGTAATTTGGTACTTGTATCTATTTTGAAGAAAATTAATTTAAAAAATTATAAGTGAATTTTTATTATAAATTAGGAAAACCCTTATATTTATGGATATCATTATTTTATACATAATGAGAGATTTATTGGAATTCATTAATCCATATGTGTATAAAAATATTTAAAAATAAGTTAAATCTCACAAAATTAAAAAAATCTAAATCCTTTAATTGATTAAAAAATATGGAAAAAAATATTTGAAAGCAGAGATCAAGCATTTGGAAAAAAAAGTTTATGACAGTGATGGAAGGGAAAAAGTATATATAAAATCGAAAAAAAAGTTTTAATCTCTCTTCTAAGCATAATGGTAAGTTTTTAATTTTTTGTTCTTTAATAACAAATTTTGTTTTCTTGATAGACAACTGACATTTTAAGGATAATTTTTGTCAATGTTTGCATGTTTTTTTGTTGGAGTTAACACGTAAAGAGAAAATTATTGGGACTTGACAGTTGGCTATTTTTTAATAATATTATTTTATTTCAAATATTCTTTTCCAAAGCTTGATAATATTTAGTTGGCTATAATTAGTAAACAATCTCCAAATAATTTTCTGTTCTCTCTAAAAAAACAGAAGTCGAGAAAAAGGAAGCGAGAAAAGATGGTGAGCATAAGGACATGGGAAGGCAGGAATGGGAACTGCCCAGGCATGTCGAATAAAATTATTAACGAGTTAGAGGTTATTATTTTAATTGAAATTTCCCAGTTAATCTCTATTAGATCTTGTTTCAAAGTTGTCTAGACTAGAAAATATTTTATTTTAGTACCTTTAACTTTATTATTCAACTCTTCCATCAAACTTTGTATTGTTTTTGTTACTCTCCTTTCAATATGTTGTTCTCCTATATTTTTTATTTGATTTGATCTACCATCTTCTTCTGTTTTTATTGAATTTGACTCTATACTTTTACTCTAAAATAATTTAAGTATTTTTTAAATTTAAAAATTAACTTTTTCTTTTATTTTTTCCGAATTGGAAGAGTTGTTGTTATTGAACTGTTGTAACTTTTCTATTAATAATTTATCATTCTCTTTATCTTTTTCATTTTTATTTCCTTATAAAAATATTTTTTTATTAATTTAAATTTATAATTTATTTACTTTTTAATAATTTTGTCTCATATACGTTTGAATAATTATAGGCATTTAATGTAGAATTGGGTGATTGACTTGTTCGATATGGAGAAATTTTGTAGTTACTATTTAATTAAGAAATATTAATTATTTTAAGGAGGTTTAATTCTTAACGATAGAACCGTCATTTTGAATAAATACTAAATTAAATTTACACTTAAATTCATTCAAATAAATATTCGATTTTGGCAATTTTCAGTACTTTTTATATAAAATACCTTTCAATTCTATTAATAACATCTTTAACCCCAATTCTTTTATTAGAAATATCAGAACCAATTCTTGGTCTTAATTCATTTAAATTTCCTCCTATAGAAATTCCACAAGCATAACTTGCACTTCTTTTGGGTATTCCATAATTTATATTTGAAGTTATTGTTGAAGGAGGGATATATCGAGGACTGCTACTTCCTGGCCTGTTATAATTTTTGGTAGAAGAGTAAAGATCAGAACTTGAATATCTTTAAAAAGAAGTGATACTTTAAATGCTAAAAGGAATTATAAAAAATATTATCAGACAATTATCAGATCTCCAAAACTAAACTATAGCTGTTCTCAAATCTTTTACAAACCTATACAAATTAATTAAAATTATTAATTACCTTTGAGAAGCATTATAATAATTATTAGAGTTTATCGGAGAATATTCCCTTTGATATGAAGAAGCACGATAATTTCCACTTCCTTTATTATTATAACGAGATGTGTAACTCATTTAAACAAAATATGTAAATAATTAAATTGTGAATCTTCAAAGTAATTTTTAGAAAATAAAATAATACTAAATTTTAATATGAGATATGAAGGATATAAAGGGTTAAAGCATCACAAAATCTCTAGTCTATAATTCAATTTTTAAAACTTTATTAAAAGTATATTCATAACATAAAACAACAAAAAATAATTTTACAAAATTGAATTTATTTTAAATAATTTTAACTAAAATCTTTTTTTTAGATGTTAATTATTTTAAAAAATTAAAAAGAAAAATAAATACTTAGATTATTTTGAAAATAAAATCTTTTGTTTTGTTGATAGCTTTTGGCCATTTTCTAGTCAAAGAAAGAATGTGACATAAAAATAAATAAATATATCTTTATGGGGCAGTTGGTGGATGGATGGATATTTTAACCGGAAAGAGTTTATATATATTTAATTGTTAATAAAGAATGATTGGACTAAATAGAGGAAAGAAATCAATAAAAATAAAATTAAAATTATTTTTAATAAAATTAATTTAAAAGAATTTTTAAGTTTAAGAAGGTAATTTCAGATATAAAACTTTAAAGTCAATTTTTAAATAAATAAATAAAAAAAAAGTAAATTTTAATTTAAAAATGTCTGTTTATTCCACAAATTTTTTTAAAAATAAATTAAAAGAATTAAAAAATCAACATTTTATTTTCACACCGAAATTTGATAACTTCTCTCAAACAATCACACGTCTTTGAAAAATAAATAAATAATTAACAACAACATCTCTCTGCGCATTTGTTGGAAGAATTTTTCTTTAAACTTTTAAATATTTAATTTTAGCTTAGAATTAAAAGATTTTAAATTAAAAAAATTTTTTGAAAAAAATTTTTGATCTAATTAAATAAATTAATTTTTAATTTTTAAATAATTAATAAATAGTAGTTTCCTCATTTTTGTAAATTAAAAAAATTAAAAATAAAATAAAAAACTGTATTTAAAACAAATACAATATAAAAATCAAATTAAAAAGGAAAATAAAAATTAATTATAAAAGAGTTAATAATTAACAGCCAATCATGTGCAGGGATGGCCGAGCGGTCTAAGGCGCCAGACTCAAGCAAAGCTTGCCCAGGTTCGGGTATTCTGGTGGGCGTATGCCCGCGTGGGTTCGAATCCCACTTCCTGCAAATATTTTTATCGAAAAAATAATACTAAAAATGCTTTAAAAAATTTTTTGAATGTATTTTTGTCGATATTTTGATAATTTTTAACTAAAAATAGTTAAAAATATGTATACTGAAATAAATTATTAATTTTATTTAGTTCATTGAATTTTTTACTGCATGATCCCTAATATTGTTTTAATTATTTAATTTTTTCTTTAATTCGTTCAACGCCGTGATTTGACATTTTAATAAAGATTTTAAAAGTTTTTCAAAAAAATATATTAATCATTTTAGAAATTTAAAAATATACCTGTACACGAATGAATGAATGACTCATTTCATTCTCCTTTCTCGTATTTTATTAATTTATTTGTTTCTTCAATTTTCCTTTTTTAATTATTTTTTGAGATATAAAAATAAATTAAAATAACATTTCGGTTTATTTTTTTTTGTCTTGTTAATTAATTAATAATTACTAGAAAACTAAATATTTTTTTCAAGATTAATAAAAGTTAAATAAGTATAAAGTAAGCCGTTGCTACGCGAAACTAAAAATAAAAAAATAGCCAAACGGAAAACTTTTAATAATTTTGTATACATATTCTTTATCTTAATATATCCTTAAAATTAATTACAATTCTCTCACTAAAATTACTTAAGCTTAGAGAACGGACTCGTTATTGTCGGTATTAGTATCGAAGAATAAGGTTCTTGATCATCAATATTTTTCGATATTCTTAACATTTTAATTATCTTCAGAATACATTTGAAGCGTCCAAGACACAATACCAAAATTTGTAATCAAGTTTATATTCAAGTCATGTACTCGGCCCAAGTTAATTTGTTACTTCTTACTTAAAAAACAATATTATCGAAATTCCAAATATCTACTTATATTAATTTTTGTTACAACTTAATTTTATTTAAAAAATTACTTAAAAATGTTTACCTGTATTACTTAACAAAAACGTTTTGTTTTCCCCCATCTCCGTGATTTTGTGTTGTTTTATACATTTATCTATTTGTATATCCATTTTTTACTTAAAAATCATTTATTAGTTAATATCTCCCGCTGTTCATTTTATTCCTAACCCGATTCAATCGATTATTTGGTTGCTCAACACAAAAATGTGTGAGCTAAAAAATGGGAAGGAAGGGGAAAAGTAAAAAAAGAAAGAAAAAAGGAAAAGCCAAAAGCTTTACCTAAACATTTTTATTTAATTATTTAATACTGTTTTAGCGTTTGAAGAGAGAAAACTTGTTGAAAGTAAATACCAAATCAAATTATTTTTATTTATTTATTCCTAATTTGGTTTGTAATTTGTTCTTAATTTTTATCTACCTCCAAACTTTTAAAATTTATTTTCTTGTTTTTCTTCATAATTGAGGCTTCAAAAACTCAAAGATTCGTTTTTGTGCCGTTCTTCTTAATGGCATAATCCTACCAAGCTGCGCCCAGCCGGCGCCAATCCACAGACATAAAAAGGCGGGTTACCTCTCCTCAAAATTAATCCTTGTATTTTTCCATTTCTTTTTACTCCTTCCCCTCGAAAAAAATATTTTCAGGGTGTGGCACTACTAAAAGTCCAATCAATTTTATCAAGTCTGAGAAAATCTATTGTTAAAAATAAAATCGGCGCATTCAGTTTCGATTGGGTGAAGCATTTTAAATTATTTTTGATCCTCTAACATTTTTTCACATTTTTTGTCCTTTTCCACATCATTGGTTCTTTTTACATTTTATTAGACTATGTAAATGCATTTATTTATTTTTAACTTTTACTAAAATCTTTTCCGTCAATCAAAGTTCCTTTTTCTTTCCTTTTTTTACTTTTATTGCGCACCAAAACACCTTCTTTAGTAAAAGTTAAAAATTTCTTTGTTTTTGACGACTAAAAATTTATAATCTTATATTTTATATATCCTTTCTCCTAATTTTTTATTTAATTTAAAAATAAATTATTTTTATTTCACTATATGTATGAAAAATTACAAATATTTGAAAATAAATTACAAATATTGGATTAACTAAGATTTGTTTCATCTCCAGCCTGCCACTAATTTATTTCTTTAATCTTTACCAATTTTTAAATAAATTTACTACTATAATAATAATTTACAAAAATATATTTATTTATTTCACTTATTTTAATATTTTTTATAATAAACTAACCCCCCCTTACATTAACACGCAAATTGACGGAATTAGCAATTCAATTACAAATATAATTTTTTTAATTTTATTAAAAAACAAGTTACCTAATCAATTCTTTCCTTACATAAATTACCAAATATTTTTTGGAATAATAAATTTAAAATTTATTATTAAAATTTCTTAATTTTTTATTCATATAATCAAATACTCACTCAATTTTTACATATTTTTTTCCAAAATTATTTAAATAAATTAATTTTCCCGAAACTTTTTTTCAATTTCGTTTCCTATTTTTAATTAAAAAATATTTTTAAAAATTATTTAAATTCTTAAAATTCCTTCAATTTCTATTATTCATCTTTTTTTACTTTTTCTGCTTCTTTTTAAAGATTTTTTTGTCAATATTCTCAACAATTATTTTTTTAATTTTCTAATGGATTTTTAATTTATTTTCAGAATTAATTTTTACAAGCTTTCTCCAAAAATAAAGATAATTTTTTTGCCATTTAAATTTTCTATTTAAATAATTTTTAATTTTCTTAAGTATTTTTATTAAATCATTGCTTACTAAATAAATAAATAGTTAAATGTATATGTATACTAATATTTATTTATTACAAATGGTTAAGTATATGTACTAACTTGGAACATTTAGGGAAATGCATTACCAGGTCTGGAGTAAATCATTTCTTTAACATAGGTTATTTCATATCTGATCCTAATACTTTTTTTAAATCTATATTAAATCCTTGCGAAATCCTCACTTCAGTTATTTTTTATTTTTAATTAGTCCGAACTGAGAGGATTATAGGAGAATCAAGATCAATATCTCGAAAAAATATCACGATTTCGATAACTGCGATTTTTGAACGAGATCTCGTTTCGGTCCTGGCTTTATTTTTAATTATTATTATTCTGATTAAATGTTTAAAATCATTTCTTCTTTTTTTGGATTCTTTACTTTATTTTTTGTATAAAATATTTTTATTTTTATTTATTTACTTTTTCTAATTCCGCAACTAAAAATCAAGGACCGGATTTTTTGTTTTTCTTCCTTTCTTTTTCAAGAATTTTATGTTTAGATAGTAGAGATAGATAGTTTTTAGTGAACACAATCAAAACGGAGACGGAAATTATAAAAAAGATTTATTTATTTTATATAAAAATATTTTTTCTTAAATTAAATAAACATTAACGTTTTTAGTAATCTATTTTTATTACTTTTTTTTTATTTTTTATAAATTATTTACTAACTCTTTGTATCTTTTGCGCATTGAATTTATTAAGTAAAAATCCTCTCCTACTATTTTATTTACCTTTAACTTTTTTTCAAATTCTTTCCAAAATTTATTCCCAATCTTATCCCCCCCTCCCTTTAATTTAACAAAAAATCTCCTTTTTTTCAATTTCTTCACCTCTTCCGGCCTTGATCGATTGACTTTTACTAATTCCACACATTCCTTTATCTCCCCCCTTCATTTACCTTTATATCCTCTATTTGTGTGTGTAATATATACACTAAATTTTGTGTCAAATAATTTTGCTTGTTGTTGGCCCTCTGTCAGATTTTCTCATAATTTTTTTTTTTATTTTAAAATTATTTTGTTCCAAAAATTAAAATATTAGAATTATAAAAATATTTATCTAAATTTATATCTTCTCAATACTCCCTATTTTTTGAATTATGGCAACCTTGAAACCCTTGATTGTTTTTAAAAATTAATTTCTGTCAATTTTGTAGACATTTAATTTTAAATTTATTTGAAATTTTTTTTGATTTTCATTCTTTCCTTATTTCATTAAATTCTGTCTAACAATACTTAATAAATTGTTTGGAGGATTTATTAAATAGACAATAAACAAAAAATATATTTTTCACCCAAAATCTCGATCATTTTTTAAAAGTCCATGATCGATCTCTCCTTTTCTTACTTTTCCATTTCTCTTCTTTCCCCTCTTTCTTTTATCGAAAATCAGTGAAAAATCAAACACACTCATGGCCAATCGGTTATTTTTTATTCATGCCAAAAGAATAAATATTCTCTAAAATATATTTTATATACACATGTGACGCGTACTGAAAAAAACTTTAAAGCTTGTTAGCTTTTTTGTTATTTAAAAGAGTTAAAGTAAAAAACGTTAAATATAAAACCCAAAAAGCAGCTGCGAAAAAAATATTTTTATATAATTTTTTAATCTTTTGATTTGTTTTATTTTTTATTTTTTCTTCTTTTTATTTTAGTTCATTCAGAAGATAGGTAGGTATAGATTTTATTAGATTTTACCTTTAATTTTCATTTTTTGTTATAGATTAATAAAATCTGTGAACTTTTTAAATTTAATTTTTTATAATTATTTTGAAATTCGTTTTTATTATTTTATCAATGACCAAAATTGATTAAGAACGGTTAATTTTAAGATAAAAATTTTGAAATTAATTTCCGCGATTTTATATTTATTCTTTAATTAATTTTAACTTTATTTTCATACATATTTAATTACATATAGTATAACTTCGAATTATTTTTTAAAAAAATTTCATCATTTTCTAATGACTCTATCCTCAACAACACAAAATGGAACCTCTTCACCTGATTCTCAAGAACTAATTAAGTAAATATAATTTTTATTTAATAATAACTCCTTATGGAGATATACTTATTTTTTTTTCCTTTAATTACAAAATTAACTTAAAAAAATATTTTTAAGATGTCGTATTCAATTTGTCAACGATATAGACCCTTTTCGTTGTTCTTCAACAAATGCCGGTCTTCACAGAGAGCCAATAAAGCCCATTCAATGCAATTTACAGCTACATAGATCTATTTCTGAACAATTACCTGAATTAATTAAATTACTTAGAGCTCCACATAAGGTAATTAAAGTGAAAAATTGGGGGAATTTTAGAGGAAGAGGGGGAGGGGGGGAGGGAAGAAATTTGAAAGAAATTTTTTTTGATTTTTAAAATTTAAAAGAGTGGAGATTGTTGCCTTCAAGTCCAATGTAGTGGAATTAAAAATGGAGATGAATTTGCTTCTTATTTGGATTCGGAATTGACTTTAAGTGAACAAACTGAGGAATTGGAATTGTTGCAAAATGAACCGTGAGTTTTCTCTTTAAAAATTAAAATTTTTTTATTAAAATTTTAAAAAATATATTCTTTACATACACTTATTTTCTCCCTCTTTTCTCCCTCCTTTTCCACTCTAATAATTAATTTTTGTTGTCTGAAAAAGCCGGAACTTTAAAAATATAATTAGAATAATTATTAGAACAAAAAAGGAATATATAAATAAATTAAAAAAGTAAATAAATAAATACATGTTTTGTAGAGATTTAATAATTAGTGGGTTGGTTAGTATTTTTGTTGGAGTAATGCAAGGAGGAAAAATATTTTTTAATTAAAAATAAGGTTTTCTGTATTTATTTTTTATTTTTCTGTAATATACATTTATTTATATCTCTAATACCTATTTAAAGATATAATAATTAGTTTAAATATTATTTTTAAAACTACAAAATTTTATTTTAAAATACTCTTTTTTTAATTATATTATTTTTAATTGGTCTTTTTCAATCTAAGTTTGGCGATCCTGGAAATCTTTGGATATCCTGGCCTGAAATTTTTCTATTAGGGGGCGTATTTTTTTTGGGTAGGGGCGTATCTTTTTTTATTGGACAATAAATAGCAACTTTTAGCTGTTTGCATTTGAATTATTAAATCATGCAATCGAATCTCTTTAAAACAAATACCTCGGAATCGAATTATACAGACTTAATAGGGGGAGTCTGTATAATTCTAAAATAATCCTTCAAAAGTATAGCTACTCTAATATGCAACACTGATTCTCTCTGTATAAATAAACTCACTTTTTTATAAATTTTGTTTAATTTTGTACTTTTTATTATTTTTGCAATAGTACATTTTTGTGACTTTTTTATTTATTTCTATTTAGTATAGATTATATATATTTATTTATTCTTTGTGTATTTACTCAACTAATGGATTTATCCCTAAAGCTAAACAATAGCAAAGCGTGTGTCCGTTTTGTCTGGGTGGTCTATATTATAAATATTTTTTTTGATTTTCTTTTTGGCATTGAATGGAGGGGGGGGGGGAGATGAAAGGATTTTGATGATATTCACGCATTTACCTATATTTACTTTTGTACTTATTTTACTGTGTAACTTGCCTCTAAGGTTTACGGATTAAATTTCACTTGACGGCCAAATAAATTGTTATAAAATTAGGAAAAAAGGGGTGAATTTGAATAAAATTTGTTTCACAACTTTACTCATAAATTTCTCCACAAAACATTTCAATAAAATACCAACAAAACCCCGGGAGTTTCATTTAATGCCATTTTTCCCATTCACTAAAGCCTTATCTCTATAAATATTATTTAAAAATCTCTTATCTTCTTAGTTTTTCTTAAAAAATATTTTTCTTTATTATTCTGTTCCAATCACTCAAACAAAATATATTTACATTTATTTACTTAAACCATCTATAATTCCCTCTATTCTACACATATTCAACTTGTCATCAAAACATAAATCTAAATATTCCACAAACACTTTTCTTATACTTTTTTAAATCCTTTTTAGTACCACTTCAATATTTTTCGCGCAGAGAACAATTCCTAAAAATATTTATTTTTCAACATAAAATATCCCCCCCCCCCCTCCCATCATCTTTCCTTATTTTGAAGGTGGCAGAAAAAAATATTTTTGGGTGCTTTTATAAAAATAAGTGGATGATGATGACCTGCTTTTTTTATATTTTCTCTTTTTTTATTAAAAACTTCGCATTTTCTCGTCATCAACACAAAATTATTTTTAAATAATCAAAAGAAATTTGTTTTGAATAAAAATCGGTCGTATCTTCTTCAATTTTTAATTATCACTTCCTAAAAATACAATCATTTTTTAGGGTTTCCTTCTCGATTCTTTTACATCAATTTTTCTGAGATCTAAGTTTTCAGCGAATTTATCTTATTAGTTTATCCTTTTTTCATTTTTATTTTTTTGAGGGAAGAATTAAAATAAATAAAAATATTTCTTCCAAATATATTTTTTCCTTTATTAGGACAAAGTCATTTTACATTTACTACAGATTAATAAATATGTATGTACTTTAAGTGCAAAAACTAGATATTTATTTGTAAATAATAATTTAATTTACTAGTTATTTTGTCCAAAAACTTTATTGTTAAATTAATAGGTATAATAATTGAATTTAAAATTAATTATTTTTGTTGCATTTTGTTAATTTATAAAAAATATTTCTTTTCAATTTATGTATATCTTTACAATATTTATCCTTAGATACATAAATATTGCTTCTTTGACAAAATCTACTAATCGAATCTCTACTTAATGATTACCAGGATTGTCCTATCCCTTTGCCAGATCCTTTCAATATTTTTATTAATTTAAAATATATTTTCTTTCTCCAACGTCTAATTAAGACTAATTTTTATTTTATAATATTTTTCAAATATTTTTAATAATATTATTTATTTTTAATATTTTACTCAATTTTTTGTGGATTGTATGTGGTTAAATTAATTGCGCAGCTTTCCTTGACTCTTTTTTCTCTCTTTAATTTCTCCCCAAAAGTACCATTTGTCACTTTAATATTTTCTCCATTTATGGACAGCCAATCTAGTTAGTATATTTTTCCTTTGTTGGATTGCGCAGATGATTTAGAGAATATTTTTCTTTTATTTGTTTAGTGGTAAATAAGTAGATAGATTGGCCACTAAATGAGTAACCAAACAAAGAACTGTCCATTTTACTTTAATATTGACCAAAAATTATTTTGTTGGTATCGTAATCCCTTAGAGAGTTCTGGAATCTTGGGTAATACATAAAGTTTTTCAATTTCCAAATTCTATTTACCTCTATTGACCTCCTCCCCCCTTCCATTTGCTCAACATCCTTTTTAAATAAATTTTTGCAAAAATGAGGTTGTGCAATTTATTTATTAAATTCATTTTATACAACTTATCCTTCTGTTCCTCACAAAAATTTCAACAATAGTCTGCGCCAACGGCAACAACCTTCCCCCTTCCTTCAATAACCTCTCTATTGAATATATATTTATAATTTTTTTTTCAAGAGTCCTTCTCTTCAACATTTTTCCAAAAATTCTTTTCAAAATACCCGTGCAGAGTCAATTCCTGATTTTCTTATAATTCCTCTTATGCGCAGCACAGCCGAAATCTAGTCATCCTCTCCTATCTTTTCCATTTTCACGCCTTGAAGTCAATTTCTTGCTTTACTGCCGCATACAAGAATTTGCGTTATTTTTTCTATAAAAATTTATTTTTTATATTTTAAGTTATGAAATATAAAATATTTAAAAATTTTTATTATACTATCTAATTAAGATGAGGGAATGGGGGGAGGGAAGTTATAAAATTAGTTATGTTCATCTGTTTCTATTTTTTGGTTAATTTTTACCAAGGATTTTGTTTATAGAATTTAATTAACAAACTCAAAATTATTTTTATTAATTTTTCAAATATTTGTACTCATAATGCTCTCCCATATAAAATAACCTTTTGATTATTTAAATAGATATATCTTCTTCAAATTCCTTTTTAACTTTTTTTTCTTTACAAATAAAAAGTAAGTTTCTACATAATTGCAAAATTGTGTAGACAATATCTGGAAATAAGTGAAAAGACGAGAAAAGGAGATAACAAACTATTTAGAGGGGAAAAAGAAATTTTGGCGACGATAAAATTCCACAACTGTGAATCAAACAAAACTTTCAACGCCTCACATTCTTTTACTTTTGCAGCATTAAATATAATAAAATTAATTATTCAAGCATTGCGCGTACAAAAAAAATTATTCTTTATTTTATTTTTAAATTCCTTTTTTTTATTTTTCAAGTCCATCAACAAATTCCACTAAAAAATTAGCGACAATTTTTTATAAAATTTTGACCCTTTTCTTTAATTCTATAAAATCCTCATAAATTTGTGAGGAGACACAAAATACACACAACAACTTTGATTGAAAATTATTTTTTTAAATTCAAGTTGAAATATTTTCTTCTTTTTTGCCTAAATTCGGGTAAAAATTAAGTGTTAAAATATGGCTACAATTTCTTCCTCTTCTCCATTTGGAAAAGTTCCTCATTTATTCGAAACATCAGAATTACCCAATCATTTTGAATTAAACAAAACAACAAACAGAATTTTTGATTCTTCTGATTGTTTAACTAATCGACGTTTTGGAATTTCTAACGATTTTTATAAAAATTCGAGAATTCTTCCAAATACCGAAAAACTTCGTTATATCGATGAAGAATTTATTGAAAGTGAACAAATTGGTGTTAAACACGACAATAAAGATATTTTTAATGTTGCTGCTTTTAATAAAAGTTTTGCTACAGAAAAAACATTTGAACAATTAAAAAGAAATGAAGAAGAAGAAAAACAACAAAAACATCAAACAAAGCTACAAACACAACAATTAGAGAAACATAAAACATTTGAACAAAACATTAATGTTTATAAAAACATTTATTCATCAGAATTAATTAATTCTGAAATATCAGAAAATAAAGAAAAAATTAGAGAAAGAGAATTGTTAGAGAAAATAACTTTTGTTAATGAAATTAAAGCTGAGAATAATATTGAGGATAAAAAATCAGAAAAGAAAAAGAAGAAAAGGAGAAGCAGAAAAACTAATTTAGGAGATGAACTTTTTGATTTTGATGTTAATAATAATAATGAGTTGGGGTTAGTTTTTAGAAATAAATATGTATTTATTTATTAATTCCCCTTGCTCTATAATTAAAATTTTGGGAATAATTAATTAAACAAAAAAATTTGAAAAATTTATTTTTGTAAAAATTATTAAAAAAAATTCCCTTTAGAATCCATACAACTTTATTACTACGTCAACAACCAGCATTACGAGTCAAAGCAATAATTGAGAAATTACTTTACACTTCTGGACGAGAACAGAGAGGGGCTCTCTTTACTTTAAAGAGCCTTTTTCAGGAAGACAAGGACCTTGTACATGCTTTTGTACAAAATGGGGGCCTTGAAGCACTTGTTAAATTGGTGGGGAATTTTTCTAAGTTTCTGACCTCTATTTTATAGACTGCTTTCCTTTATGATAAAAATTAACTAAAAATTTCTTTAGGGTCGTGGAAGTGATCAAAACCATCAAAATCATATTTTAAGAGCTTTGGGCCAGTTAATGCTTTATGTTGATGGAATGAATGGAGTAATTGCTCATAATGATACAATTTGTTGGTTATATGAATTGCTAGATTCTCCTGTAAGTTTTTTTAAATTTTTTAGTAATTTTGTTTTTTTTTTGCTTATTTTTAGTTAATTTTAAGTGTAGAATTTTAATTTAAAAAATTTTTTAGTTTGAAAGTGTTTTCCTTTCTCTCAATACTTGTTTTTAAACAAAATAGTATTTTCTTCGCTACCTTAAAAATGCCCTTTTGATTTTATTTTTGTCCAATCATATATTTTTTGGTTGTGCTTTTTTTCTTAACTTTTTTTACTTCCAATTTTATTTTTAGAAAATGGGGAATAAAAAATATTTTTAATTTTAAATTAAATAAGTATGTCTTTAAGTATTGTTATTTAGTAGCACCAAGGGACGAGAAGAGAGGGGCTCCTAATGTGTTTATTTATTCATATTATTCATTATTTTATTCATTTTATTCATTATTTTTGTGTTTTTTAAAAATGCTTCTTTTTTTTATTTAAAACTTTTCAGCTCTATGACAAACAAAACTTTCGTTCACTGAGTACTCCACATGTTTCTTGGGTGCGTGTTTTTATGTTTTTGCTGTTATTTTTTGTTGTTTTTCTTTTGTTTTTATTTAAATATATTCTTAATTTTTTTAAATTAAAAAATATTTTTTAGTACCGACTTGTTGTCAAAACAGCGTTAAAATTGCTTTTAGTTTTTGTTGAATATACAGAACCTAATTCTCTTCTTTTTCTCGCGGCTATTTCGAAAGTGGAGAGAGGAAAAAGTAAAAAAATAATTTTTTAATTTCAATTATTTTTTAAAATTATTTTTTTAAAGACCAGCCGGATTGGTGTAGCCTTATGCGAATTTTGAATGATGTTCAGGCTAGCGATCACGAAACTCTTGTTTTTGGAATGACTGTAATAAATAAAACTTTACATGGAGTTCCTGATCAAGTAAATTTATTAATTGAATGAGTCTGTTTAAAAAAAGAATAAATTTAAAAAAAAGGATACATATTTTGATGCAATTGAATCTCTCGAAAGCCAAGGAATGAATGATTCTTTAGCTACCCTTTGCAAATTAAACAACACTCAATTAAGTCAACAATGTGCTTTATATGAACAAGAATTGAGAAGGGAAGATGCCGCTATTGAAAGCGATACATCTTCCTTAGGGGGAGGGGCTTCTAATGGCGCGCAGAATTCTGTGGCCAAAATGAGGTGATTAATATTTATTATATAGATTTGATATGTTAAAGTAATTATTCAAATGCCTCGACCTCTATAATAATAACATACATATTTTAAAATGTATGTATCAGGGATGTCACGGGTTGAGAAAAATGTCGGGTCGGGTTTCGGGTCGGGTTTCCAAAATTTTTCTCGGATCGGGTTTCGGGTTTCGGGTTGAGCAAAAAGTCGGGTCGGGTTTCGGATCGGGTTTTCAAAATTTTCTTCGGATCGGGTTTCGGGTTTCGGGTCGAAAAAAGCCAAAATTTTGAGAATTTTGGAAGGCCAAAAAGCCAAAAATCTTCCCCTCTCAGCGCCGCAGGCGAAAATTTTGAGAATTCTTGAAGGTCCGAAGCCAGATTTCTTCCTTTTTCAGCGCCGCAGGCGAAAATTTTCAGAATTTTGGACTATCATTAAGCTAAAAATCTTCCCTTTTTCTGCGACGCGGGCGAAAATTTTGAGAAAACTCGGGTCGGGTTTCGGGTCGGGTTTTGAAAAATAAAAATTCTCGGGTCGGGTTTCGGGTCGGGTTTTAGAAAATTTCTCGGATCGGGTTTCGGGTATCGGGTCGAAAAAAAGGCCGGGTTTCGGGTATCGGGTTTCGGGTAACCCGTGACATCCCTGGTATGTATATTATTTATGAAAAAAGGGTTAATAATTTTTCTTATACCAAATTACTCTAGAGGGCGAGGACGGAGAGAAATTAAGTTAAAGGTGTGGTGATGGGAATTTTAAAAAATTTTCAAACCCCCTGACTCTAAGGGTACAACTCTAGTTTTGAAGCACTTAACTTCTAAATAAATTTAATCAAAAAATAGATTAAACGGAAATGCTGTAGCCACTGATCGACGTAATCAAATGCGCAAAAAACAATTAGAACACGAAGAAATAATGATTCGTCAACAACAAAATGCTAAAAAAATATTTAATAATAAAATTGAAGAACAACAACAAAAACTACAAGAAACACCAAAACACCAACAAATATTAACTAATGGAACTAGTACTTTACACAAACAAATAGTGGTGGAACCTTCAAAACAAAGATTGGAAATGAATGCAACGTTGGATGAAATGTCTGATAAATTCCAACAAAGTTTAAATATTGAAGCTAAAAAACAACAAAAAATATCAGAAATGAATGTTATAAAACCTGAAAAGTTGGAATTAGAAAAGGAAAATATTGATGAGGTTGGGAAGGGGAAGAAAAACATTAAATAAAACTAAAATTTTTCCTTATTTTTAAGCCTTCATCACCGGAAGAAATAAAACCTCCTCCCGTTAAAGCACCCCCTCCAATGATCCCAACAAATATATTCTCTCCAACTGAACACAAAAGTATGGACTTCCCTGAACCTCCACCAGTTAAAGAATTAACACCGCCTCCCCCTGAACCTTCTAAACCTAAAAAGGTGAGAGAAGGGTTAAAATAAAAATATGTAAATTATTTAAGGTAATTATTGCTGATGATGATGATGGAGGTGGCGGTGGAGGGTTTGCAGCGATGCTTCAACGAAGGGCAAAGAAAATGGAGAGTGGATCAAATCTTCGAAAATTGGTTGAACCTAAAGCTTCGGAATCTGAACAAAAATGGAAAGAAGCTGGGGAAAGACTTAAAGAGAAACCTGTCAGTTTTTTTGAAGAAATATTGTTGAAAAAATCATTTTTAGATGATAATTAACGATCTAGACTTCTCAGAATTTATTTCTGATTTTGAACAAGATCCTCTTGTTTTGACTAAAATGGCGCAAATGGCACAGGATAGGGGATTGTTGCCTGGCGGCGGTGGAGCACCTCCTCCACCTCCACCATTAGGTAAATTAATTTTATTTCAGAAGTAATTCAATTTAAATTGACAATTAATTTAAAAATTAATTTCAAATATTTACTTTAAATTTATTAAAAATTTCACAGTTGGAGCACCTCCCCCACCACCTCCTCCAATGGCTGGAAGCGTTCCTCCACCTCCACCAATGGGTCTTCAAGCTCCAGGCTCAGGAAATCGTTCACTTCGGGAGCCTTCTCCAGGCCCATCTTCTTCTAAAAATTCTTTACTTAAATTACATTGGAAAGAAGCACAACACGAAGCCCCTCCAGTACCTGCCTTAAAAAGGAAAGGAACATTTTGGTCAAAAGTATCTGGACAGCCAGCACAGATTGATACAACAAAGTTGGCTAGACTTTTTGAACAAAAACCGAAAGAAGTTGTTGTTAAGGTGGGTGTTAATTGTAAGAAAATTATTAAAAAAAATTTATTTTAAGAAAACCGGAACAGAATCAAAACCACAAATGTTACAAGTATTATCAGTCAAACGTTCCCAAGCCATCAATATTGGATTAACTAAATTGCCCCCTGTAAATGTCATCCCAACAGCTATTAGAGTAAGTTTAGGAATGAAATACTTCAAGAATATTTTCTTTTAGAAATTCGATGCAACAGTTTTAAATAAAGAGGGAATTGAAAAAATTCTTTCAACAATGATGCCAAGTTTAGAGGAAGTTGAAAGAATTCGTGAAGCCCAAGCAGAACAGCCAGATACTCCCCTCGGGCCTGCTGAACAATTTATGCTTTCTTTATCAGAAATTGATTGTTTATTGGAAAGATTACGTTTGTGGTTATTTATGTTGGATTATCAAAATGTGGAGCAGGAAGTTGCTGATGCTTTGATGGAATGGAATAATGCAATGAAACAGGTAAAGAGAATAAATTTAAATTTTTAAATATATCGGAAAAATCAGAAAAAAACATAATGAAATTAAATTCAGAATCAGAGAAAATTTGATTTTGATACTTCAATTAAAGAAAAATATTATTTCTATTCCTATACATACATATTTAAAATTAAAATAAATAATATAAAACAATTAAAAAAGGTGGAAGAATCAAAAACTTTCCGTGCTGCAATGGGAATGCTTTTAGCCATTGGAAATGCTTTGAATGGCACAGATGTATTTATTAAAATATTCTCCCTTATTTTTCATTCTTTTAAAGATAAAAGCATTTCAATTGGATTATTTATCTCGCGCTTCTGAAGTTAAAGATCCAGTACATAAATACCCTTTAACACATCATTTGGCAGAATATATGATTGACCATTATACAGAGGGAAGTGATATGTATTCTGAATTGGGTTCTGTCTCTAGAAGTTCTCGAGTAAGAAACATTTTTTTTCAAATTCTTCAAAAAAAATAATTTTAGTTAGATTTTGAAGCATTTTTTGATAATCTAAAAAAGATGGAACAAGATTGCAAGAATTGTTTTGATTATGTTGCTAAAATCTCACAAAAAGATAATAATAGTTCGATGAAAAAGAAAGTTAATGATTTCCTTACTGAAGTAGCTGAACGTATTCATCGACTTAAACATGTTCAGAGAACTACTGCACATAGGTGAGAGATTTGTGTTTGTAACGGTAGGGTAAAGTTTGATTCTGAATCCGCAATCAAATAAGCTCGGAAATTTCCTAACTTTTTCGATTAGAATTTTCCAGGGACCTTCCTTCATAGGGATATTTTTAAGTAACGCATTCCCCGAATTTCCACTCCACGAAGATTTATCCCTGAAAACTTAAGAGAAATTCGAATTAAAAGTTGCCTGAGGACCTCGGGTTTAGCAAAAATTTAAAATAAAGCCCCGTAATATTCTTTAAATTTTCATAGATGGAATGCTTTTCTACTTTATTTTGGTTATTCTCCAAGTGAAGTTAAAGATCAAAAACCTGTAAATGTATTTAAAATGGTTATTGAATTTGCATTAGAATATCGAACAGCTCGAGATAAAATATTACAAACACGTAAACGTTTAGCTGATAAACGTGAAAGGAATAAAACAAGGGGAATGATGATTGGGGCTGCACAAAATGTTGCTGGAAATGTAATAAATAAACGGAGAGGGGCAAAGGAAGGGGGTGCTGAATTAATGACTGATAAAGAGGTAAATAGTTGTGCATATTTTTTTATTGTTTCTCAATTTTTTAGAGACACCAAGAAATGTCTCGTTTATTAACCGGCGGTGGAGGGTTATCAAACGGTGATGAAACTTTAACTCGAAAGAAATTGGGAACTACTAGGCCATCACAAAGGCCAATTAATGCTGCAGAAATTGTTGGAGGGGATGATTATAATGATGAACTGCTTGATGGGGTTGTTCGTACTGTGACGGCACAGACTGACACGCGTGAAGCTGGAAGGAGAAGGGCGAGAGTGTTACATAGAAAATCTCGTAAGTTTTATAGGGATATTGGTATTGGTAGGATATAAAAATATTTAAACAAAGAAGGTCAAAATTAAATAGCTATTTCCTAGTTTAACATGGGATTTTCAATAATTAAGGGGTAACAAAAGAACCCCCAGTTATTCCTTTGTTTTTTCCTATATATAAAAAATAATTGTAGTTCGACGTACTCGAACAATTCAACAAGAACAACTGGTTGATTTAAATAATGGTCACAATGTTACCTTAAGTTAATAATTTTACATTGATGTTTTTATAAAAAATTGCTCAAATTGAAGTAATGAAGGAAAGCATTTTAAAAATATCTTTTAAATGTAAATAACATTTTCGCCTTAAAATTTTCTAGTCATATTCAAAAATATTAAAAATTCAATTAAAAATTAACAATTTTTTACATTGTATGGAAAACACCTTCATTAAAAATATTTTAATTTTTAGCTCTTTTCCCTAAAATAATGTATACCTAACTATAGTAACTTTTTCTTATTACAACTTGCTAGTGCTTTAAAATTCATAAATTAATGAAATTAAATAAAATTTAATTTTTAAGCACTAGCCAGTTAATGTTTGCAATTTTGTTTTGTTTATTACTCTCAAAAAATTAGTTTTTTTATTACTTGCTTTTTTCTAATTTTTATTTGTATCATCCCAATTTATTATTATCCCAACAAAAATATTTTTTTATCAAAATTACAGGTCATATACACTTCGAAATGTGCATTTTTTAAAGAGAAAACAATATATACATATATTCTTTGCTTTTTTTTTAAATTAATTTTAATTTTGTCTAGAAAATTTTTAAATTGATAATTAGTGTTAGTGTATACATCCAAAAAATGTAATCTTCAAATTTTTCTGTAAGGTTAATAAGAACAGTAATAGGAAAAATACTTAAATATTTTATAAAAAAGTAATTCCTCATGATCAGAATTTTTACATACAAAATTCTGATATTTTTTCAAAAATTTTATATTTTCGAAATTATATTCACTAACAAAATGTTTAGATATCAAAGTTATTTTCATAGAAAGTATTTTAAATCTATGATTTATAAACCGAAAACGATATTTTCGGTAGTTATATTATGAGAGAAGGAAGACCGATCCCGACGAATCAAGTATCAATATCAAATTGTTTAATGTATGTAAATAAATGTATTTTTAAAATGGATTATGTAAAAACATGTAAATTCAAAAAAATTTATAAAATCTTCATAATTTTTTAAAAATCAGTATTTTTTATTGAAATAAAATCGATTTTTAATCGCAATCCTCACTCAATCATCATCTGAAAACATTTTAAGGACATCTCTTGCCGCCATCATCGCCGCCATCAGACCTTAAATATATTTTTTGTATTTTCCACCAGGAATTTTGATTAAGAGATTTGTTTTTATATTTCCTTAGTAATTAAAAAGCTGAAAATTTACTAGTAAGAGAAGGTTCATCAATAGAACCATCAGAATCAACATAAAATTCTTTCGGCGCAGAATGTTCAGTAATATTATAAACAAATGGTTTAGCCTTGAAATCATTTCCAAAGTTGGTTTCGATAGAACAACGTTTTAGATGGGCAAAAATTTCATAATTGTCACAATCATCGTCTTTCAATAATAAAGATTTACCTAAATATTTAAATTAAAATATCTAAAAAAGAACATTTACCAATTAATTTCCCATTTTGAGTAAAGAAAACATAAGGTAATTCATTTATTTTATTATTTGGTGGATATACTAATCCTAAACCAAAAACATCCCCATCACTCCAAGAAAAGGAAGGAAGTTTAAATTTGATATCTTTCTTTATTATAAATTCACAACGAATAAAAGCTTCATCAATATCCAATTTAACTGCATTATTCCCATTACGAAGACCAATAACCATCCAATTTTCATCACTCTTCACTCCTTCAATTTTACATTTAATTTCAAAATAAAAAAGAGAATAATTTATGCAATCGTCTATTGGTTTTTTAAATTTTTTTTCAGCATTAACGCGAACATCTTTATTTTCACCTAAAATATTTAATAAAATAATTAAATTTTCATTAGTTAATTTACCTTCCCCAACACAATTAATATAAGTAATATTTCCACCATCAATTATATTAATAAATCCATTTCCTTTAATACAACTACCAATAGGTTTGTCAGTATTTATACACTCATTTTCACAACATTTACCATGCACAATTTCACCCCATTTATTTTTAATTTGAACAAAATTCTTTAGAAAAAACTTTTAATATTTATAAAAATATTATAACTAACCACACTAAAATTATCTTTCTGTTCTGATTTAGAAGTTAATTCAACAATCTTTTGCTTCAAAGCAGAAATTTCATTGCCATATTTGTTTTCAAATTTAATTTCCAAATGATTAATAATTTGTTGATTCTAAATTTAAATTAATTTTAAAACAAATTAATTATTTACATTTGCTTGAATTTTCTCAATAATTGATTGCTGAAAGTTTTGTTCTAAATTTTTAATTTCTTTTTTATTTTCAGATTTGATTTCTTGAATTTCCTGGAATTTAATTTTTAATAAATTGAAGATTTTAAGAAAAATAAATAACAAAATTGAATATAAAGGGAAAAGAAAATAGGGCATTTTTAAAGGTTTGCCTAACTCAACTTGTCAAAAATTATCATTAAAAACCCCCTACCTCCTCCATTTCCTCCTTAAAAACTTTCATTTCACGCTTAAAAGACGGATTTGTTTTCTTCTCTTCCATAAAGTTAAATTGAAGGTTGTCGTTATTACTTAAAGGCGTCATAACCTTCTAAAAATAGGAAAAATAATTAATTTTATTAAAATCAGAATTGTAATCAGAATTTTTATTAAAATCAGAACTCTATTAAAATCAGAATTTGAAGATCCTTCTTTAGCCATTTTATGAAATTAAATTCAAGAAAAATATCAGAAAAATCTTTGATAAATTAATAAAATAAAAATTTCCTTAAAATAAATTTAGGTTAATTTAGAACAAAAATAATATTTTAATAATTAATCAGATTCTAAACCAAAATAGCCCAATTTTGGTAATTTTCTTGTTTTGATATTAAGTGTAATTTATATCTAACTACAATTTTATTTAATTTAAATTAATTCAATAAAATTCATAATTCAACTTTTATTTATGTGTAAAAACACAAAAAAATTATTAAAAAAACAAAATTATGTGGAGAATTACATTAATTTAACATATAAATACGTAGAAAAAGAGGGCGGGACATGTGTTAATGTTTTGTTGAATAAAGAAAAGGATTATATTTTTTTATTACAAAATATTTTGGGGGAATATTTTTGAATTATTAAATAATAATGAAATAATTGGCACTACTAATGATGCTGAATTTTTCTTTTTTTTCTTTTTCTGCTGACTTCTTTCTTTTTAAATGTTTTGGTTGTTTTGCTTGTAGTAACTAACTGTCAAATGCTTAATTTTTATGCCAATTTGAAAATAAACATTATAAACATAAAAAATTTTACATTGTGTTTATGGGAATATTTTGAATTAAGGAATATTTTGTAAAGGAATTTTTTTAAATTATTAAAGATAATATGTATGAATGTTAATCTCATAATGAATGTTAATCTCATAACTATGTATGAATGTTACTCACATAACTTCTACAGATGTTCAACAAGTGAGTACAGGGGGGATGGCGGAGGCACTTCCAAACTCCAAATTTTCAAAAATTGTGAATTTTAGAGAATTTATCTCAATTAGAGAAATTTAATTATCAATCTCCTCGCTTCGTTAATTTCATCGTTTAATCATTATTTTAAAAAATACGCATCACAGACGAAACTGATCTCTTACGAAAGTACAGGATACGTAAAAGGCATTATACCACAGGCGCCGAAACATCTTAACCCTGCCTAACAGTGCCGCGCAGAACGATACCGCGACGGATCGGGAAAAGGTCGGTTCAGAAGCCAAAGGTCGATTCAGAAGCCATGAACAACAATTCTTCTTCATGCTCTTCCACTTCAAACAATAATAATTCACCATCAACAACGGCTATGGCCTATGCAGTTGCTGCAGCTGGGATTCCTCTAAATTCAAGGAATTCCTCCTCTTTCAATTCATTAACAGACCAACAACAACAACATTCTTCTAATTTTTATTCGAAAAAACATGCCATTCTGAGCAACAAAGCGACGGTATATGTATTTTCGAAAACAAATTTTGAAAAACAGTATCACAGAAAAAATTCACCCGTTATGAATCCCAAGAATTTCTTAATTTATGGAACTTCTATTACCAGAATATCAGCCTAAGATCATCTTTATACACCAATTAAGAAGACCAAACGATAAAAAAAGCCAAAACTATAAAGAAAATTTGGGGGCGTGCTGAGACTCAAATGTCCAAAAACCTAAAGGTTTAGGCTTCAAAAGGTTTAGGCTAAAATCTACCAGGTAACGAAAGAGTCTGAAAATATGGCATCAAAACGAAAGTTTTTGGGATATAACTTTTTTTGTTTTTAAATCAATCCAAATAATTTTTGCTTTAATTAAAAGCTCTGGATGTGCTGGTTATTTTTTCATAGAAATTGTTTAGTTTTACCGTCTTTCAAAAAAGTTAGGAGCCGTTAACTGCGAATAATCGTGATTTAACATACTTAGGCGGGTGTAACTTTCTAAGAAATCATCGGATCCTTTCATAAAGTTAATAAAAAGAATAAAAACAAACATAGATTCTAATTGATAAAGAAAATTTCTGGAAATGATCGAAATAAAAAAAGTTATGGCATAGCAAAAGGCGTTTTGATGCTAAGTCGCCGAGACTCTATTGACAAGCAAGCCTAAAGGTTTAGGTTTGTGCTGAGACTGAAAATAAATGTAAAGACAAAAGAGTCCTGCAAAAGACGGTTGGGGTCAGTTGAGCGTGGCCGGTTGAGCGTGAGCCGACCTTTGAAAGGCTATAACTTTTTGCTGCTTGATCCAATACGAATGAATCATATATCATTCGAAAGCCCTCGATGAGTCCAATCTTTATCCCAACAGGATGGATCAAGTCTGATCCCGGTTAAAAGGTTATAAGCGATAAGTGCAGAAAATCGTTGTTTTTCACACTTATCGACTTGTAACTTTTTAAATAGCGATCAATCATGATCCATCCAATTGAAACAAATATAGCGTTTAACGAGGGCTTTCGAATGATATATGTTTCATTAGTATTGAATCAAGCGGAAAAAAGTTATAGCCGATCAAAGTTGGCTGACGCTCAACCGGCCACGCTCAACTGGCCCGTTCCGTGCAAAAGAGTCTTTACAGATTATTTATGCCATTATAGCATAACGACACCATTTCATCATTTTACTAAACAAAAGGATTATTACAAGCTGATTACAAGCTTCTCAAGGATTATTACAAGCTGAGGCGCGCGGACTAATCATTTGCCGCCCTGGTTCCTTATTTTATTGAAGTCTTAATTTTCTCCCGTTAACTTTTTAACTTTTTCACATTTAATAATTTTTCAATATAACATTTAGTTAATATTTAGGTTTATTTCTTTTTTGATTATAAAACCGAAAATGGACGATTTACTTGATAGTATTGATGACTCAGAAGACCAACAACCAGCTCCATCATCAATGACTTTACTTGAACAACGTAAACAAAACGAAGCTAGAGCATTTTCTCAAGGATTATTACAAAGTATGGCTGGTGGAAGTAATGCTGCTAGTTCTTCTGGTGGTAAAAGATCTTCTGAAATTATTCAGTCTACAACTGATGAGTTTATGGAAGAAGGACCTTCCTCTTCTAAAAAGAGTATTTTTTGACTTTATTTTAGCTTTAATTTTTTTCTTTTTTTAGTTAAAGATGAAGTGGAGGAAGTGGAGGATATTGATCAATCACTTTTGAGAGGTCCTGCAATACGTACTTATATGGTTAAAGCTGAAAATAATTGCACTCACGAGGTTAATTTTTGATAAAAGTTTTTGGTAATTGAAAGTTTCCTTTCAGGTTGTAATTCCTGAAGATTTTGAATATTCTGGTTTGAGAACAATTACTGGGGATCCTGCAAAAACTTATGAATTTAAATTGGATATGTTCCAAAAGCAAGCAATTACTTGCCTAGATAATAAACATTCGGTACTTGTTTCTGCTCACACTTCTGCAGGAAAAACTGTTGTTGCTCTGTAAGTTTGTTTTCTTTTAATAACTTTTTTGTGGGTTTTTTGTTACATTTTTGCAGATTTGTTTTAAAATAAATTTTTTGAATCGATTCTTAAAATTAAAAAAGATTGACAAAAATTGTCCCGAAAAGGCCCCCGTCTTTGCAATTTTTAATTTTTTCAGTTATGCAATTGCTTTAGCACTTCGAGATAAACAGCGTGTTATATATACATCTCCAATCAAAGCTTTGAGTAATCAAAAGTATCGAGAATTAGCTGAGGAATTTGAGGATGTTGGATTGGTTTGTTTATTTTTGTGAATTTCAAACTTTATTTTTGTTTAGATGACTGGGGATGTAACGTTAAATCCAAATGCTTCTTGTATTGTTATGACAACAGAAATTTTACGTTCAATGCTTTATAGAGGTTCTGAAATTACTCGCGAAATTGGATGGGTAATTTTTGATGAAATTCATTATATGCGTGATAAAGGTTTTTAAATTAATTATTTTTATTTATGATATAAATATTTTATAGAACGTGGAGTTGTCTGGGAAGAGACTTTAATTTTAATGCAAGACACAACTCATTTTGTTTTTCTTTCTGCAACAATACCTAATGCTAAGGAATTTGCAAGTTTGTTATTTTTTTCTTGAAATTATGCACTTACAGTTAGCATTAGAGACGTGTCTAAATTTTATTTTCTTTTTAGAGTGGATTTGTTATCTTCATCATCAACCTTGTCACGTTGTTTACACGGATACTCGACCTGTTCCTCTTCAACATTTAATTTTTCCATGTGGTGCAGATGGGTTATATGAAGTTGTTGATATAAAAGTATTTTTATTTGAAATTATTTATAAATTTAATTTTCTTTTAGGGAAATTTCAAACAAGATAATTTTCAAAAAGCTATGAATTTTCTTGTCGATTCACAACCACTTGGTGATAATGTTGATAATGCTGCAGGTCCACCAAGGCGTAGTATTGCCGGTGGTGGAGGTGATCCACTCAACAAAAGTGTTTTGAAAATTATTAGAACAATTCATGAACGTGATATGCTTCCTTGCATTATATTCTCTTTTAGTCGAAAAGAATGTGAAATGTATGCAACAAAAGTTAAACAAATGGATTTTAATTCAGGTTAACGTTTTAAAAATGTTTTTTATAATTTTAATTTTTAGAAGAAGAAAAGCGTGCTGTTAGTCTTATTTTTGACAATGCTATTGATTTACTTGCTGATGAAGACAAAAAACTACCTCAAATTAAAAATGTTTTGCCCTATTTGTTAAGAGGGATTGGTATTCACCATTCTGGTCAATTACCTATAATGAAGGAAATTGTTGAGATTTTGTTTGGTGAAGGACTTATTAAGGTTTTTAGTAACTATTTTTGTCTAATTTTTAATTCAATTTAGACCCTTTTTGCAACTGAAACTTTTGCTATGGGTGTTAATATGCCAGCGAAAACTGTACTTTTTACTTCTGCACGTAAATTTGATGGAACAGTAAATCGTTGGATAAGTGGTGGTGAATATATTCAAATGAGTGGGCGGGCAGGGCGACGTGGCAAAGACGATCGTGGCTTGGTTATTCTTATGTTGGATACACAAATGAGTGCAGATCAAGCTATGCATTTGCTTAAGGTTTGTTTCTTGACCTTTGTCGTGCTCCGGTTATTAAAATTTCTTGATTACTTGAGCTGTATCGCTGAACTTTAAGTTGATTTTTTTATTATGTAGCTTTGCTATTCTTTTCTGATTTTCTTAATGAATTTATTGTTGATATATTAGATCGTTTCCAAATTAATTATTTCTTTGTGTCGTTAATAATAATTGAAATTAAATACAGGGTAACAGCGATCCGCTTAATTCACAATTTCGTCTAACTTACAATATGGTACTTAATTTGTTCCGTGTTCCTGAAATCAATCCACAATATATGTTGGAGAAGTCCTTTTATCAATTCCAGAATTATGCCGCTATACCAAATCTCAGACAAGGTTTTCACTTATATTTTTGTCAAATATTTTTTATCGATCCATTAGCAATGCGCGAGAAACATGCTTTACTTATGGATGCTCGTGTTAGTCATGAGATGGAAATTGAGGCTTATTATAATATTGAAAAGCGTATTCAACAATTACAACAGTCAATTAAATCTAAAATTTTGAAGCCCTCTAAAGTTGTGCCGTTTTTTCAGCCTGGACGTTTATTAAAGGTTTTGAATATTGTAAGAGACTAGTTTAACTTTATTTAAATTTTAGATGAAACATTTTGACAAAGATTATGATTGGACAGTTTTGATAAATTGGCGCAAAACACCAAATCCATTGGATCCTACCTCACCTGAACTTATATATATTGTTGAGGTATTTACATTTATCTAGTCAAATAGATACATTTTTAATTTGCTTATTCTTGAATGTTTTTCTCTTTTACAGGTAGCTGTTCTAGTGAGTAAAGAAAGTGAACGACATTTGCCTAATCTCGCCCTTCTTAAGCCGCCAGATTTGCGTGAACAAGGGGTCATCTGCGTTATACCTTTTACTTTTGAATGTATATCTGCAATAAGTACGATTAGATTGAAAGTTCCACAGGAATTGAAAAGCAAGGAAGCAAGAGATGCATTAGCAATTACTTTGGCGGTAAGTGACTTTTTATTTTAAATTACTTTCCTTTTTTCGTTTTTTTAAAGTTTTCGTTTATTTTTAATATTTTCCAAAGATATATGAGTAAAGGAAAAAAGGCCAATCTTTTCGTATTTGGTAGTCTAGATTTTTTAGTGATCTTGACATCATGACATATAAATTTAGTAAAAACTTGCAACGCAGACAGGTCTTAACCCATTCAATGGGTTTGGACTTCATTAAGTTGCTAAAGTAAAAACTGGTATTTTTGATGGTTATTATTAATTTTATGATTAATAATAAAAATACCTGACAAATAAATTTTTTTCTGTATCTCAACCAGAATTCTTTATGATAATAAAAAAATTTTAATTTATTTTAATTCATTTAGGAAACCAAAAAACGCTTTAGCAATTTAATTCCCGAACTTGATCCAATTGAACATATGGGAATATCTGACCCACAAGTAAAGAAGGAAATTGAATTATTGTTTACTCATGAACAGAGATACAAGGATCATCCTTTAAAGGTTTTTTAATGTTTTTACCTTAAATGTCCCTTTCACATTTCCAAACAAATATTTTTCAAGTTTTTTAATTTTAATCGTGAGAGTTTTATGATTAAAATTTTATTTTTTAATATTTATTTTACATTACTATTATTTAGGGACGTCCAGATTTTGATCAAATTTACAGTGCATATATGAGGAAATTAAAATTAGAAGAGGAATATAAAGAAGCAAAAAATAAATCTGAAAACAGTCGAAAGTTATTACAAATGGATGAATTACAATGCAGAAAACGTGTGCTTAGACGTCTTGGTTATGCTAATGAAGAAGATACAATAACCGATAAAGTTTGAGGATTTATGCTTTTTTCTCTATATTTTAAATTTAGGGCCGTGTTGCTTGCGAATTAAGTTCAGCTGATGAATTATTATTGACAGAAATGTTATTTACTGGGGCATTTGCTTCAATGGAAGCTGAAGAAGCTGCTGCTTTGCTTACTTGTTTTGTATTTGAAGAGAAAGCCCCAACATTAAGATTACCAGAAAACCTCAGCAGTGCTTTAAGGAATTTACAAGTATTTTTTAAATTTCAATAATTAATTTATTAATTTTAATTTTTAGAGTAATGCAAAGAAAATTGCAAAAGTTTGTATTGAATCAAAGCTTGAATTGGATGAAGAAAAATATGTTGAACAGTTTAGCCCTGGAATGATGGATGTTGTTTACAATTGGTGTTTGGGCTCTTCTTTTGCACAAATAATGGAAAATACACAACTTTTTGAAGGTAAATATTTTTTATAAGCCTGAAATATTTTCTTTTGAGTATTTCTATATTACTTTTAAATAAAGTATTGAGAAAGTTGAATTTATTGAGGAGTTTTCTGGGGAATACTTATGATTAAAAAAAAGCCATAAATTAAAAAATATATTTTTAGGAAGTATTATTCGCTGTATGCGTCGTTTAGACGAACTTTTACATGAAATGATAGGCGCTTCTAGATCGTTACAAGATGACTCTCTTGTTGAAAAGTTTGAGAAGGCTAGAAATTTGTTGAAACGTGATATTGTTTTTTCTGCATCTTTATATCTTTGAGTTGGACTATTTGGTAATTATAATACTATTTATATTTTGTTCCTCATTTATCTTTTGTTTCCATAAAAATTTGTCTAATTTTATTCTCATTTATAATATAAAATTGTCTGACAATTAAAAAATATTTGAAATTAATTTGGAATCCCCAAAGTCCCTCCAGTTGTTGTTGCTGCCCATTGTCTTTGATCCTTAGCATTATCCTCCCGGATTTTTTCAAAAATATGTGGCCAATCTACCTCTACTTGAGATAAATATTTTAAAAATTTTGAATTAGTTTCTGAATGGCCCAAAAGGTCCAAGTAACGCTGACGATATCCAATAACAGTATCGAGATGTTCTTAAATTTTGGGTATGTTTAAAAAGCATAGAAATTCTTTCTCACCTTTATTTCCATTGGTTTGTCTTTCTGAAGAATTTAAAGCCAATTCCAAAGCCCTAAAGATTTTTTCTATTTAAAACACACGAAAATCGAGAAACCTTTCAAATCTAAAAACACTTAAATTTAACATAATTGCGCGAAAGAAATGCCCAGATTTAAGTAATGCCGACTCAGCTTCCCGTAATCGACCACCAAATAAAGCTATTTGAAAAGACCTCAATTGAGGATTCGGTTGGGAACGTAGTTCAGCCAAAGAAAGTAATTTTTCTGCCTTTAAAGAATATCTACATACGGTGTAATTAAAAGAGATATGTTCGAGAAAAGAAATCTCGGTTATTGAGATAAAAAAATTTTCAATCTTGAATCTCGATCTCCTCATAAATATGGAGATTCTTTGAGTTATTTTTATTAGATGTTTTTAATACTTGGAACTAAAATTATCTATTTTTTCAAAAATATATAAGTAAAACCCCTCCTTAATTAATTTTTCTTTTACTATACAAACTTCTTTTAATTGTCCATAACATATTTCAGCAATTGTAAATGACTTTTCTGCAAGTGCTAATCCTGCTAGTGTTGCCCAAAGAAATTCCTCCTTTAAAAAATTTTTTTAAATTAAAATCCAAGTAATTTACTTTAGCAGAATTACAAATCCTCATAGCTTTTTCCCATTGGTGGTGTTGAGTGGAATTAATTCTTTTTTAAAAATATTTTTTATTTTATTTTAAAATTATTTAAAAAATACAAAGCTGTAATAAGTGGAGGAATATAATAAATAAATAAACTTCCATCTGCCCTCCTAATTGTTATTATATTTCCAATAAAACTAAATTTACAAAAAAATTATTTTTCCGTTTAATTAAAATTTACCTTAAAATAATAGATCCTTTAGTTAATTCAGAATTATCGCCTAATTCTAATTTCGATAATGTCAACAAATCTTTATCAACAAATTGTAATGTAGGCAAACAAACATAAAAATAAGGAATAAATTTTTGAGAATAAATTTAAACTAACAAGAAGTTTTTGATTATCTTGTAATGCTGCCATCATATTTGTAGAATTATTTGGTGTTAAACAAGATAATAGAGAACCTTTTAAATAATTTTTATTGGGAGAATTTAACATTTATCAGGATGGCAATTTAGCTAGTCAATTAATAGTTTAGGTATATTATAAATTAGAGTACGTCGAGTGCCGAGTAATTGGGATAAAACCGAGCTCGAGTAATCCGAGTTTGAAAAAATATTATAAATCCTAATAATTTTCAAATTATTTTCCACCCACCAATTTTCTGAATCCTTTCAGGTGCTCCATAGCGATTTACTAAAGCAATAAAACAATCTCCATTTATATCTAAAAATATTATTCTTCTATCAACAATACCTCCACATTGATTAACACATAATTCAACAATATTTGACTTAAAAAATTGAAATATTTTTTTAAATATTAAAGTTTTCTCAAAACTAAATGTTTTATTTCCCCATCACCAGCAACTCTTCCATTTTGAGGGTCAAATAAATGAATTAATGAATGTTGGGTTTTATCTCTCAAAACAACTAAATCATTAGCTATTGCTGCTGTTTGTTCATTAAATGGTTCTCCAAAAGAAGAAATTTTTATATTACAAATTGATTTGCCTTCATAATTTAGAACTTGTACAGATGAAGAATCAACAAGTAAAAAACATCTTTTTATTTGAAAGAAAAGAATTAAAAGAGAAAAGAAAATCCTGATAGGACACTGATGTTATTTCCAGCCGAAACCAGTTTTACAATAAATTGGGTGTAGAACAGGAACAAAAAACTTTGTCGGCTGACTATATAGGTACATGCACTGAATTTTTGAGAAAGGGGTAGGGGACTATAATTTTGTGGAGCTAAAAAGTCTCCGTATTCAAACAAAAAAAATTGCAAAAAGTACTTCACAATTTTATTTCTTTTAAAAAATTACTTTTCACATAAACGAATCAAGGAAACTAATCCAGAACCTTCACGAAGATCATTAACAATTGGAGTATTCCAATTTTTAGCACTAAAATTACAAAATACCTTTGTATAATTTTTATAAAAATACCTAAAAATATATAATTGTTTAGATGTAGCAACAATTAAATAATTAAATCCAATCTCCATTTTTATAATTCTGTCTTTTGTTTCTAAACGTTCTCGAACAACTTCAGAACTTAAATCACGAATGTTTATTGTTCTTCTATTTATTTGTATAGCTTCAAGTTGTTCCCATATTAAACGTCTAAATTAATTAATTGAAATTAAATTAATTTTAAATTTTCAAAAAATTATTTCAATTAAGTTTCCCAATCTCTAATATAAACTTTTGGTAGTCAAGGAATATTCCAGGAATTTTTTGTGCCGAAATTCGGAATAATTTAAGAACTACGTAGTCAAAACAAAATGGGTATACAAACGAATTATTCTAACAATTGTCTCTGATTTTCCCTATTTTTAATTCAAAAAAAATTTTTTTTCCTTTACTTTTCAACAATATGTGCATGTAATAATTGTCCATTAGCAGAACCACCAATTAACTTAAAATCGAAAAGGAAATTTAAAATAAAAATTTTTCTATTCAACTAATTAACTTGTAAACAATCAGGTGACCAACTTAAACAATTAATTGATCCACAATTCGGCCTTTCCATTGAATGTGACCACTTTAGGAATTAAAAAACAAAATTAAATAATTTATTTATTAAGACCCCAGATTTATCACAAAGTCTCAATAAATTAAAAGATCCAACAGCAAACATTGTACCATTATGACTCCAAGCTACAGAGGATATTGGGAAAGCATAAGCAGCAGATGACCATAAAGGACGGCCTAAAAAGGAAATTTTGAAGTATTTTAATAAAGAGTGGAATTTTTTGGTTACCTTGTCCATTCCATAGCCTATATCGACAATCCTCTCCGCCGGTCAGAATCTTTAAATAAAGGAAAAACTTTAAAATATCAAAGCTTCAAATACCTGATCATTAACTGCACTCCAACCTAAACAAGTAACAAGTCCGGTATGTGCTCTCCATTTGATGGGTGAACTCTAATAATTATGAAGAGATATTAGGAATACATGACCCCTCATATAAATAATTAATCCAACTCCTAACAAGGATTGTTAAAATAACTGGGAGTGAGTGAATTATTTTAGTGTTACCATTAATAAATTTTTAAAAAGTTTTAAATCACCTAACTTTAAAAATTAATTTTCTCCCAATTAAAATTATCTACATATTTACCTGTACATTCAATTGCTTAATAAAACATTCATCTCCAGCACAATATACTAATTTGCTACAATCTCCATTCCAATCAAGGGAATATATCGGTTTTCCTATTTGTGCAAGAACAGAACGAAGCATTCCATTTTTAGACCAAATTTTTACACAACCATCCTCTCCACCTAATTAAAATTCATAATTCATTTAAATAAATAAACTTACAACTTGCAAACCCCCCAGCACCCCCAGGTTCTGAATTATTCCAACGGGCCTTAATTGTAGCTCCATGATGGGCATCAACTATTTTTTCTAATTTTCCATTTAAATTTAATAAATAAATTTTTCCTTAATTAAAAATTAAAAAAATATTTTTAAAAATTTAACTTAATTAACCATCAGAGGTTGTAACCAAAAATATTTCAGAAAAATTTTTTGAAGTTGATATTTTTGTGTTTGATGATTTTAAAGGATTGTTTGTTTGTTTAGAGGTCGTTTCACGTAAAGAATGATTAGATAATTGAAGAGAAGTTGGAAAAATCTTTCTTAATTTATTTTTTGATTATATAAATATTTAGGAGTAAAATTAAGAATTAGAAAAGAGCTCAGATAAGGAATTTTTCTAAATCGGATCGTTAACTAAATGTAAGAATAAATTTTTATTAAGTCATGTTCGGGTTTAATCACCACAATAATTTTTTCCTATGATAATCCTAAGTAATATTTTTAAGGGGGCAATCTCTTACGATAAAATTCAAAATCACTCAACTCTTTAACATTAACTATAGACAAATCCATTGATTCCATTTTGTCCATAATCCAAAGTTTAATTAAATGATCATCTGATATAGTTATGCCCTCATCTGTATTTAACCAATCAACACCATTTACAGCTTCTGTGTGAGAAGATAAAGTTGGGGATAATTTAATACGAAGACGCATTTCTATTAAAAATTAAGAAATAAAGAGAAAATATATTAGCATAAATTTTTAAAAATTGTTGTCATGGCAATAAATAATTTGTAAAAATTAGGTTTAATATTTTAAAAAAAACAAAAGAATGGAAATTAATTTTATTTTTTGCAATAATATTAGGATCGAAAAAAGTAGAAGGTTAAAAGTAAAGATGAATTTTTTGTCCTGAAAATCATTTCAAAAAGTTATTATGGGAATTAAGGTAAAGAATAAATAATTTGATAATGATTATTGCTTTTGAAATAACAATAGTCATGTTGAATTTTGGATAAATTTTGAAAATCAAGAAATATACGAAACAAAGAGATGCAAAATTTGGTTCGGAAACTACTAATAGCAATCGCCTTCCAAAATTCATAAAATTTTCACCTGCGGCGCAACTGGAATAGTATCATCATATGGCGTTGCCTCCCAGAACTATAGTAAAAATTTTGTTCTACATCTGGATATCTGGAGAGTTCCCCATATTTTTATCAAATTATTTGTAATCAAATTTTTTTCAAATAATTTGGATTTAGAATTTGATGGGTTGATTTGGCGAAGATCAAATATTTTTTTAATTGAAATTACTTGAATTTGAATTCGTTGCCTACTAGAAAATTATTTATTCCTTCTCAACATTTTCCCATTTTATATTTTAAATAAATTTTTAAAATATTCCCTTAAGTATATTCTCATGATAATCTTTTCTTGTTTTGGATAATTAATTAAAGTTTTTAAAACTTTTAATATTCCCCGCCTATTTTGAAATAGTATAAAATTAAAATATTTTTTTCTTATTAATTCCTTTAGAATTTATGTAATTAATCAAATAATTATGTCTTAAATTTTTTAATTTATGTCTAATAATGTCTTTTTAATTTTTTAATTTAAATATTTAGATATACATATATATTTAGATATACATATATGTAAATTAAAAAATTATCTTAATAATTTTTAAATTTCATTTTTTTAGATTTTTTAAAAATTAAATTTTGTGTTCAACAATGTCAGAGAAAGAATCTTCAATTTCTGATTTTGAATTAATTGTATTAATATTAAATATTAAAATAATAATTTTAAATTAATTTTCAGCAAAACGATGATGCTACAGAAATTGAAAATAATTTAAATGCTCTTCAAATTGAGCATGAAGAATTAAAAAATAAATATGTTTTGCTTGAAGAAAAGTATTTGTCTCTTGAAAATAAAGTTAAAATTGTAAGATTTATTATCCAAAGTCATTCCTTAAGTTTTCCCGAAATTTTAAAAATTAATCACAGAAATACAAAAATCATAAAATAATCCTGACCCCCCCCCCCCCCCCCCAAATATACATAATTATTTATACCATTCAGATGAATGAAATAGGCCTTAAAAGTAAAAGTGAAAGTGAAGATATAATGAAAACTTTAAGGGAATTAGTGATTGAGGTAGGTTATCAATGAAGGATTGGATTTAAATTTTTTTATTTTATTCTTTAAACAATTCCTAGTTACAGTAAACCCGTTATATTTATATAAGCGTTCACTAGAAGAATATTTTTTAATAAGATATGTTAGTCGGAATCTGATGATGAGGGGGCGCTTATAGATAGTATATAACGGGGATTGACTTTGTAATTTAATTTAAAGAGGAGTAATTTGTCGGAGAACAAGATTGGGGGTGAATCAAAACCTGAATTTGGAAAATTAAATTGTAAAAAAGTGGTTGGTTTAAATTAATTAAAGGGGGAATAAATATAAATAATTTAAAGTGTTTTGTTCAAAATAAAAATAAATTTAAATATATTGCCTTTGATTGGTTTGATGTGAATTGTACATGCTGCCAATATATTTGTATAAATACACACAGACCTTGCGGTGCTTGTATTAATGGGAATGGATTTGCTAACTTAATTAATGATGGAAATATTAAATATTTTAGAGGGATAGGTACTTTAATAAATAGAATATCAACTTTTAAATATTTATTTTAGTTAATAAAACTGCTTGTATTACTGCTCAAAATTCATTTAATAAACCAAAAGAATATTTAACAAATTATTCTTTATTTTATTTTGAAATTAAATGTAAAATTGAAGGAGAAAATAATTTTCTGGTTGTTGGCCTACAAAATGCTCTTACAAAAAGCAGTACTAGATATAATGCTAGGGAAGTTAAAATTAAGAATGGATTTGAAGAATTTAATCTTTCAACATTTTCTTGGAATGATGGAGATATTTTTGGTTGTGGATTAGTATATCCACCTAAAAAGAATAAATTACCTTATGTTTTCTTTACTCAAAATGGAAAAATAATTGGTAAATAATTAAACAATAAACAAAATTATTTATTTTTTAATTAAAGGCAAAGCAATATTATTAAATGAAAATGGTAATTCTTATATCCCGTATGTCCATCTTCAATGTTGTTCTCTCGAAATTAACTTTGGAAATGATTTGGAGGCAAAACCTTTTTGTTATGATATTTCGAAAAATTCTGCGCTTAAAGAATTTTATTGAAATTTTGTTTTTAATTAAAATTTTGGTGTCGAAATGGAGTGATTTGTGAAATTTGAAACATAAAACATTTATTCGATATTTAATTTTATTTTGATTAATTTATAAAGATAATTTTCATTTTTTTAAATGATGCTTTCGAATAAAATTTTTAAAAAAATATTTGTTTTTAATTTCTCTTAACATGTTTTATGAACAAATTTTTAAAAACAAGCAAACCTCCACTTTGTTTCTTCTCCGCTTATAATTGTTTAAATTTATTTCCTTTAGACAATAATTATTAACAGTAAATTATTCAAAACATTAAATAGTTCGTCTTATTAATTATTAGCTTAAAGCAAAAATGTCTGGGAAAATTACATTATGGTCTAATTTATAGTCCGTCTCAACATTCCAAAACATTCTTAGGTTAAATTACATATTTGTAGAAAAAATTATATAGGTTAACATATGTTCTATTTTACTTTTTTTAAATTATAAACTGTTATTGGTAAATTAATTTTTAGATTTTAAATATAATTAAAATATTCTTCAAAATGACGGAAAACGTTTCTTCGGATTTTGAATTAATTGTAATAATTAAATTATTTAAGTTAAAAGTTTTTTTAATTTTCAGCAAATTGATGATGCTATGGAAGTTGAAAATAATTGTAATAATAATCAGATAGATGAAGTTAAAAATAAAAATAATTTAGTAGGTTTTTGTATTTAAAATTAATTTTTAAGTTTATTTTTTAAATTAAATTAAATCTTTAAAATAAAATAAAGGCTTTAATTTTATTATCTGAAGATATTCTTTAAATTTCCAGTAGGTAATTAAGTTCATCAGGGATCCTGCAGACATAAAAAATAAATCCGCGATTTCGAAAATTGGGAATTTCCGACCCAAAAAAAACGTTGGAAATTCACGATTTTCGGGAATATTTTATTTATTTCGAATTAAATTGATTGCCCTTTTGAAATATTAATATTTTAATTAAAAATAATTTTAATATTTTTTAGTTTTATGTACAAATTAAAAATAAATGGAAAGATATTGAAGATGATTTTAGATGTTGTAACAATAGATGTATAAATACAAAAAAACCTTTTGGTGTTTGTATTAAAGGGAATGGATATATTAATTTAATTAATAAGGAAATAATTAAATATTATAATTGTTTAGAAGGGAAAGGTAATAAAATAAAGAGAATTAAAATAAAGAGAAAAATTATTTGTTAGGAATGAATGATCTTGCTTTTGTTACTGCGAAATATAAATTCTATAAAACAGAAAATTTCATAATTATTCCTTATTTTATTTTGAAATTAAATATACCAAAATTGGAGAAGGGATTTCTGGTGAAAATGATGTAGATTTTGGTATTCAAAACAGAGGTAGAACAGATAAAAATTTAAATTTTATTTTACAATGGAACCTCAATAAAATGTTTTTCAATCGAATGTTAATTCCATTTAGTTTAAGTTTTAATTTTTAAAATCAATAAAACATTTTAAATTTTAGATTTATCTAAATTTAATTTTATAACAGATCCACCTGACGATCTCAAATGCAAATATGAAATTGGATTGAATATATTTGGTGAATATATTTTTTATAGAATGATATCCAATGGTAGAGAATATAAAATTAACAATTTTTCCTGGAATAATGGAGATATTTTTGGATGTGGATTAATTTATCCACCAACCAAAATTAATGAATTTCCTTATATATTTTTTACACAAAATGGACAGATAATTGGTATTAGAAAATAAAAATTGGAAAATTATTTTTTTAATTTTTAGGTAAAGCTGTATTATTGAAAGACAATTTTGATTGTTTCCATCCATATATTGGATTAGCAAATTGTTGTTTGGTAGAAGCTAATTTTGGAAATGATTTGGGAAATAAACCTTTTATTTATAATTTTAAAAAGCATCCTGTACTAAATGGATTTTATGAAGATTAAGCTTTACTTTAATTAATACGAAAAATAAATTTGTTTTAAAATATTTTGGTACTTTCGTTTAGTATCTCTCTTTATATACATATGTAGTAAATCTCCTCTTTATGAAAGGAGATTTATTTTATCGTTTCTTTTTCGTAAAATTTATTTTTAGATCAAAAAAAATTTTAAATTGTTTAAGACTTTCACAAAATTGTTTAATATTTATTTACTTTCAACATTATTAATCCATTTCCATTTTTAATCTTTATGAGAGGTAATTTAATTCTAGTGACTAGAATTAAAAATTTCTTAAATTTATTATTTAAAAATAGCTCTGATAATTAGGGTGTACATTTATATGGATATAAAATCGAAAAATATGGACATAAAATATGGATATAAAATCCTGAAATATGGATCAAAAAATTGCGTGCCCGCACAAAATACCGAATTCTCAAAATCGCGAAAGGCTAAAAAAGCTCAAAATCGCGAATCGGTAAAAATATCTCAAAATATGGAATCGGCCAAAAAAGCTCAAAATATGGAATCTTAAAATATCGAATCTCAAAATCGCGAATCGGCCAAAAAAGCTCAAAATACCGAATCGGCTAAAAAGTAGTTAAAAATGTCGAATTTTTTAAAAACGAAAAGGGCCGTTTGAGTGCCGCTGCAGGTCTTTTTCTGATTATTCAGGGATCTGTAACTCAGTCCAATCAGGTCGGATTTCATTGATTTTGGTATCATTCGATGCAGCTCGACGTGCTCTTTCAGATGAGCTATCATTCGGAAACTCGAAATTCGGTTCGGGATTCGAAATTCGGTTCGGGTCCGGGATTCGACTTTTTCAAAATCCGAGCTGAGATTCGTAATCAGCACATTTTTTTACCTTAGAAAAATACTTTCTCTTATTTTTAAAATTTTTTTACGAAGAAGTTGGTCACAACTTTGTTCAGACTCAACTGGCCTTTGCCGCATTGTCGATATTTTTCGATATTTTGAGCTTTTTTTGCCTATTCCATATTTTGAGATTCGATATTTTGAGATTCCATATTTTGAGCTTTTTTAGCCGATTCGCGATTTTGAGATTCCATATTTTAAGAATTCGGTATTTTGTATGGGAGCCAAAAATTGTAAAAAGATATTTTAAAAATCAGTATTTTATGTAGAAAACAATAACTTTGCCTTTAAATTTGTATTTTAAGAGTATTCTAAGAGATTTTATGGATTTAAAATTTATGTTAAAATTTTTTTGAAAATAAATTTTTCCGACAAATTTTCGAAAAAAATTTTTTGACCAAAAATTTCCAAAATTTTGAAAATTCTCATCAATTTTTACTTAAATTTAACAAAAAATGACCTAATATTAATCAAAATATTCAAAAAAAGAGAAATATTGATATAAAATATGGATATAAAGGCTAAATATGGACAAATATGGAAAATATGGACATAGTGCCAAAATATGGAAAAATATGGAAAATATGGATTTTAAAGACCATTCTAGAAACCCTAAAACAAGCCAAAAACATGTTTTTCGTACGTTTCACAGTCATAGGAATTCAGGAAAAAAATATGGATTTCCATATAAATGTACACCCTACTGATAATGTAAAATTTTCTTCGTTTTTGGGGAATGCTGGGGAAATAAAAATAAAATAGTGTGTACTTTTATACATAAATGACCAATGTGTTTTTACAATTTCCATCAATATATGTACTATTGGCTTGTCTAACTCCATACACTACATATTTATTTTTAGATTTCTCTATTTAGTTGGATAAGTTGAATTGCACCCATTCGCCGAATTTTTTTTCGCTACTTTCATTCCTCGTCTACTTACTATATGAAAGCTAAAAAACTAGTCAATAACCGGTATGGTCGAGATTTCACTCGGATTTTTGCGGGATCCAGTCCTAAGTTCTATGCTTTCTAGTTGAGGGATTAATCCCGCGGAAATTAGACCACAAACTTTTATACTTCCGCTTGCATAAATGCGGGCTTAATCCCACAAAAGTTGATCAAAATAAAAAAAGAAAAGATATTCTATTAATTAATTTGAGAAATTCACGTGAAGTTGGTCGAACTGGGTTTCCCCTGATAAGGTTAATATTATATTTTTCTAATTAAAATTTTCTAAAATACATCTAAATTTGCGGCTGTTTTTTTGTGTTTTTAAATACCTACTTTATATTTTTAAAATTTAATTTTGAATTATTTAAAGAATTATTTACAAATAATTAAATGTTGATTTTCCCTTTTTTAATTAAATTTTTTTAGATTTTTTTAAAAATATTAAATTTCTGTACTAATGACTGAGAATATTTCTTCAGATTTTGAATTAATTGTAATAAAAATTATTTAAATTAAGAAATAAAAAATAATAATAATTTTTAGCAAATTAACGATGTTATGGAACTTGAAAATAATTCAAAAAATATTCAAATAAATGAAGAAGTAAAGGATAATAAAGGGGATTTAGTTGAAAATAATTCTTTAGAGAATAAAAAAGATAATGTAATTATTAAATATTTTTAAATTTAAAAATAATTTAAGAAAAATTCATATGATTCAACATTAGCAGAATATTATTCTAAAAACTCTGAAGAAATTGATAATTCAAAAGTAATTATTGAGAAAAAGGATGAAAAAATTATTTTTTTAGAAAATCAAATTTTACAGGTGAATATTTAAATTAAAAAATACTCATTTTGCGTGTATGAGTGAGTAGAAGGCGTTAATACACAATTTATTATAAATTAACTTTAACAAAAATTATTTTTAAATATTAGCTTTAAACTTTTTTTGAAATTAAAAAAATATATTTTAATTTTCTAATATTTAATAAATTTAAAAGATGAATGCTTCTTTTGATAAAAAGTTGGATGAAGTAATGAATCAATTAAAACAATTAAATGATAAAAAATGTAAAAAAGCGGTTGGGGATTTTTATTTATTTAAAAATAATTTAAATTAAAAGAATTTTGTTTTAACAAAAAATAAATGGAAAGTTATTGATAAAGTTTGGAAATGTTGTGAAAATAATTGTGTAAATACAGACAATCCTAGAAGTATTTGTATTGAAGGAAATGGATATATTAATATAATTGATGATGAAAATATTTATTATATTAATTGTGAGGAGGGGAAAGGTAAATTTGGGGGTTTTTGGAATTTTATTATATTAATGGTTAATTTTGTAAAAATTATGAGATTATGCCATTAAATTAATTAATTTTAGCTTTCATTTTTCTTTTAAATTAGTTTAAAATTAACCAAGAGGTTTTATAATTTAAAAACTTCATAAACCCCAACTAAAATAACCCCTAAAATAGAGTTGGAAGATACAGCTGGTTTTAACCCCGAAAATTTTTGAAACTGGCAAAAAAATTGAATTTAAACGCCCCAAGACAAAACCTTCGTTTGGCTAAAGCTCGCAACCAAAAACGGGGTTTTAAAATTTGGATTAACCGAAAACCATTAATTTGAATATTAATTATGTATATATATTTTCAGGTGTAAATAAATATTTTCGTGTTTGTGTTGAAAATTCATTTACTAAACCAAAAGAATATTCCAACAATTATTCTTTATTTTATTTTGAAATTAAATGTATAAAAATTGAAACAAATGAAAATAAAAGAAATTGGTTTGTCGTTGGCCTAAGTTATAATAATTATTATATTCGATTACTTGCAAAATGTGCTTTATTTAAAACTGAAAAAAATGAACAAATTGAATTAGACGGCAATTTTAAATGGAATAATGTAGATGTTTTTGGGTGTGGATTGGTATATCCACCAACTTATAAAATAAATAAATTTCCGTATATATTCTTTACACAAAATGGACAAATAATTGGTAGAGAATTTAAATATTTATTTATTTTATTTTTAAAAAAAGGTAAAGAAATATATCCAAAATATAAATGTGATTCATTCAATCCATATATTATCGTTGATAATTGTTTAATTGAAGCCAATTTTGGAAATGATTTGGAGAATAAACCTTTTATTTATGACGTTAAAAAACATGTTGTTTTTTAAATTATTTTGTTGGAATAATTGGGTAAATAAATTAAGTTTATAAATATTTTTTATTTAAAATTTAGAAGAATAAATTAACAAAAAAAGAAATGAATTGAAGGAATAATTATTTAAAGTTTTTTACCTCAAAATAAAAGAAGTTGGAAATTAATTTAAAAACAATCAAGTGTTTTAACTATTTTTAATTTTTTTTTCATTTTTGAATAAAATTTACAAATTTAAATATTTCTGCAAAATTTCTACAATTTTATAATTAGCCCACATAATCGAATAGAATTTTTGAATTAGAGGTGTTTCACCAATCCATCTCTGTTTCTAGCTTTAAGCAAATTAGTCTGGGGAAATAAAACTTTATGAAGACAAACAACACTACTCAGAATGTGCAGTAAGGGGAGGGGAATTTATTCCATCTAAATATTTAAAAGTTGACCTACGTACATATTTTTTACTTCGTTCATTCATTCTTTTTAAATAATTTATTAATAATTTATGTGGTATTAAACAATTTACTTTAATAAAAAGTTAAAATGTTTTAAGAAATTAACAAAATAAAATTTGAAACGAATTCATCTAAATTCGCATTATTAATATAAATTTAATTGTTTTATTATTTTTATAAAATTTTGGCAAGCCAATTTACTGGCTTGTTATAATTATAAATATATAGTATGTATTTAAAAAAACAATTTTTCTAGATCCTAAGATAATTTTGAAAATGACTACTGCTGACATTTCTTCGGATTCGGATTTTGAATTAATTGTAAAAATTAAATTATTTAAATTAAAAATTTTTGAAATTAATTTTTAGCAAAATAATGATGCTATAAATCTTCAAAAGAATTTTAATAATCTTCAAGTTGCGTTCAATGAAATGAAAAATAATAATGCTTTAATTAAAACTTCATTTGAGAATGAAGTAAAAATGGTAGGGGTATTTAAATTAGTAAATTAAAATCTAAATTAAATTTTTTAAAATTAAGAGTTTGTATTATTAATAATACATACATATCTAATTCGAATTAAAAATTTGACAGTTTATTTAAATTTTAATTTCCATATCGATGATTAAAAAAGAGACATAGTTTTTTTTTCAAATAGTATTACCGGCAGTACTAGTTATTTTTCCCTATTGAGAAAATAGGTTGAAAATAGTAATAGGGTACTAATAGTATAATATAGTAATAGTACTAATAATACTACTAAAAAATAGGGTACTACTATTTGAGAAAATACGGTGTTTCATATTTTTTAGAAATAATTTTATAAAATTTTAGTTATTACAAAATTTCAACTCTAAAAACGAAGATAAAATTGAAGAAATAAAACAAACATTTAAACAAATGTTTGGGGAATTAATGAGTGAAAATAATAAAAAATTTAATGAATTAAAAGAAATTATTTGTAAAAAAGAGGAAAAAGTTGTTTGCTTGGGAAATAATTTTGAACAGGTATTTTTAAGTTTTAATTGATATCTTTCAGAAATATAAATTGTTTTTATAGTTGGTAAACTTAAATTTTTTTAAAAAATTTAGAGACTTATTTTAAGTGTTTTAATGTAATTCCAAATAAATGGAAAGATTTTTACTATGGTCGTTATGATTGTTATAAATGTTGTGAAAATAAATGTATAAATACAGACAATCCTAAAGGTGTTTGTGTAAGAGGAAATGGATTTGTTAATTTAATAGATGATGAAAATATAAAATATATTAGTTGTGTGAAGGGGAAAGGTAAGTAAATATAAATATTTTGGAAATTTTAATTAATTTAATTTTTAAGGAAATTTGGTTTTTAATAGATCAGCTTTTATTTTTGCTGAAAATTCATTTAATAAACCAAAAGAATATACAAATAATTATTCTTTATTTTATTTTGAAATTAAATTTAAAATTGAAGGAGAGGCAGTAGATAATGACAAAGACTTTGTTTTTATGGGTCTTTACAACAATAAAAATTATTTTGTTGAATTGGATTTAAATCAAGCTAGTATATTATGCAAAACTGAAAATAAACAAATTAAAAATAAATTTAAAACATTCTCTTTGAATGATGGAGATGTTTATGGTTGTGGATTAGTATATCCACCAAATAATAAAATATTAAATGAATTTCCTTTTATTTTCTTCACTCAAAATGGAAAATTAATTGGTAAATTATTGCCCCCCCCTTTTTTTTAAAAAAACCAAAAAGTTCAGAATAATCAGCTTTCTCCCTCAATCAATTTTATCTTTCTCCCTGTGGCATATTCAATTAGATACAGTTATAAAGAGGTAATTAGTTCTAAATAGTCTACATATGCCGTGAGTCACCAGCTTCAGCAATTGAGAAAAGGGAGAAAGTCTGACCATTTTGATATAAAGGTAAAACTTGGGGAAGAAAAAAGGGGCACCCTAAACCCTATAAAACCCTATATTACCTTATAAAATTTTTTTTGATTTAAGGAAAAATTATATCATTAAAAAACTTCAAATGTGATTTTTATAAACCTTATGTTGCTTTGGAGTGTTGTTCAGTAGAAACAAATTTTGGAAATAATTTGAAAGAAAAACCTTTTTTTTATAAAATTAAAAATAATTTTAATCAATTTTCTGTTAATTTTGATAAAGAAGAAGATGAAAGTTTGGATTTTGATGGAGGTAAAGAAATATTTATTTTAAATTTTAAAAAAATATTAAAGAATTAACAAAAGAAGAAACAGAAATAAATGGATCAGCTGGAAATGTTACCAAGTAATTAAGAAAGAGGGGCCCAAGAATGAAAGGAAAATTTGTCTTGATTTTTAAAAATATAAATTTGTTTTTAACTTAAAAATTGATTTTAAATTGGTTTAAATTTTTTTCTTAAAGTTAAAAAATTTTTTTTATTAATTCAGTTATTTTTAAACAATGCATAAAAATGATGCTTAATTAAAAATATTTTCTGTTTATTTTATATTTTTTAGAGAAGAATTTAAATATATTTTTTTATTTTTAAAAATATTTTCTCACTTTACTCTTCTGATTTGTCTATAATATTAGAAAACATTTTGTGCTTAAGGAATTTTATTAAGATTCTGACAACGTTTTTGATTAATATTATCGTGAAAATTTAATTAAAAATTAAATATTATATTTAGATTAGAATCACATCAACTGTTAAATTTACATGTAAAATATGTGTAATATTAATGTTAGAAGAGAATACAAACATTCTTTGAATTTTATCTTTAATTATTTGCTCCCTAATTGCTTTTTATTTATTTTGTTTTAATCGATTCGGAATATAATGATTATTGATATCAATTTTTAAATCTTTTTAGTAACTCCTACAATTAGATTTTTTATCTCATTATTTATCAATAACAATCTTAATTAAAAATTTATATATTTTACTAAATGTATATTTTTATTTAGTAATACCTAATTTTGGATTTAGTAACGAATATTTTAATTTAAATGAATAAACTTTCTGGTTATATTTCTTTAATGGATGTTGAGAAAAGAGCTTTAGAAATAATGCCATTATCTGTACGTGGATACTATGTTAGTGGAGCTGATGATGAAGAAACGGTACGAGAGAATCGAGAAGCTTTCCGGAAGTGAGTTGAGCTTTTAAGTACACTATTTAACTAGTGTTGAATAATTTAAAGGTAGAGGAAGGATTATTTGTTATAAGATCAGTTCCCTAACATTCTAAAAACCAGACCTGCCCATAGATACGGATATGGATACAGATAATACCAAAATGCCAGCGGATATCCGCCTGTATCCGTCTGTATCCGCCGTAAATATGCGGATACGGATATCAAGATCATTATCCGTGACCAGGTCTGCTAAAAACATTTCGGATACTGAATTTATGTACAATGCATTCAAATACATATTTGAGTAACAGTTAATATTGTCAAAAAATAATCATTAGCTTATTTAAATCTGTGATGAGATAAATATTTAATTAAGTTTTCTTCTCCGTCCATTGGTCCTTCGGGATGTCAACATTTTGGATACATCCGTGCACTTTTGTTTAAATACTTCCTCAAAATCTGCAATACAAAAAATACGAGAATTCAAATTCCCCAATCCTATCGGAATTGCACCTACAGCCTTTCAAAGAATGGCACACGATCAAGGAGAAATTGCGACTGTTAAAGGTGTTGAAAATTAAAAATGGAATTTAAAATATTTAAATATTTTATTCTTTAGCTGCTAGTGAAATGGATGTACCCATGATATGTAGTACTTTATCAACGACTCCTTTAGAGGAAGTGGCAAAAAATGCTAGTGATAATGCAACTATTTGGTTTCAAGTAGGTTATTACAACAAAATTGATAAGCTCCAACGGAGAATTTTAAGGACTCAAAGAAGGGTTCTTTCCTTTAATTAAATTTTCAGACAATTGTTTAAGTTATATATCTACAAAAATCGAGCACTAACGGAAAAACTCGTTCGGAGGGCAGAAAAGGCAGGGTTTTCTGCTTTGGTTTTAACAGTTGATGCACCTCATTTTGGCAGAAGAAGAGCTGATGAAAGGAATGGATTTAAATTGCCTGAACATTTAAGGTATTTTCTAATCACTTCAATAATAAATTAGAAATATTTAGAGTTGCAAATTTCGAGCAAGAATCTAAATTTGCTGATAATGATGGTGCTTCAGGTGTTTTTTAAATCAATTTATAAAACTTGTTCAAGAATGACAGTTAGGTGTATCAGACTTTTCTTTACCTTGAAAATATTCCTGAATTTTTGTTTATTAATTAAAAATAATTTTGCGAATTTATGAAATAATTTTGCGAGGCGCGAAAACCGATGTTTAGAAAAATTTATCAGGGTTATGAAATTTTTATAGAACATGGGTATTTATTTCTCTCTTCAAGCTAGTACTATATTTACAATTAAATTAACCACAAAATACTTTTTATTTAAAATTAGGATTGACTAAATATATTATTTCAAACTTTGATCCAACTTTAAATTGGGAAGTTCTTCGATGGTTGGTGGATTTTAGTATTTTACCAGTCAGTGAAACATTTAATATTAAATATTCAAATATTCTAAATTAAGGTAATAGTTAAAGGAATTATGAGAGGGGATGATGCACTTTTGGCTATTGAAGCGGGGGCTGCCGCAATTATTGTCTGTCTTTCAATAACCTTCAATAAAATTTTTAACATCATTTAAGGTTTCGAATCACGGAGGCCGTCAATTAGACTGTTGCATGTCTACGGTAGTTTTTTAAATTTTGTTATTTATCTATGAAGGGGATAATTAATAGAGGGAGGGGAGGAGGGTTTTTGCTAATACCCGGCCTGTGATATAAGACTACATACAATGATAGTTTTCTCTTAAATTTAATTGGATTAATTGAAAGAGGAAATTGTTCAGTATTATATGGATATTTACAGACATTGTGTTTTCAGCCATTTTTAATCAACTAAATCACTAAGCAAAAAACCGACAAAATCAATGTTAAAAAATTTAGGAGTTTATAATTATTGTTGTCCTTTACTAGATTGATGCCCTTCCAGAAATTGTTGAGGCAGTTCAGGACAGAGTACCGGTCATTATTAATATCCCCTAGAGATAATATTTAAGATGTATTTAGGTATTTGTTGATGGAGGTTTTCGAACCGGAACTGATATTTTCAAAGCATTAGCAATTGGTGCCCAATTAGTATTTATTGGACGTCCAATTATTTATGGATTGGCTATTGGGGTAATTAATGGGAATGACTTTGTATATTTTAATTTTTAGGGCAAAGAAGGTGTAGAACACGTACTTAAATTGCTTAAAACTGAATTTGATTATGCAATGAGGTTATCTGGTAAGCTTAAATTATCAAAAAAATTTTTTACTATATTTTAATTTTTAGGCTGTGCAACTATTTCGCAACTTCGTTCTCATAAAGATATTGTTGTTTATCGAAATAGATTTTTTTCAAAGCTTTGACTTTTATTTATGTATTAATTATCTTTATTTATTATAATATTTCTGGGTTTTTATTAAATATTCCTAATTCAAGACTTCACAATTCTTAAATAATGAAAAATATTTTAAAAACTTTATATTTTTTATTTTACAAAAATATAAAATTTCCCCCTATGTATTTCCAAGTTAAAATTTTTGTACTTACCTAACATTTTCTTAAAAAGATCCCTGTCTTAAAAGATTAAATAATGAGGAAAAGTTATTCCGGTATTGAGGAAATATCTGTACAAAAAACCTATTCATTAAAAGACCGGCGCGGCCAAACTTTTCAAATCGTATACACAGCCAGAAATCGTTAAAAGATCTACGCGGCCAAAATGCGTTAAAATGTCGTTTTTTTAAATGCTGGAAAAGGGTTGCCGCTGCGATTATTTTAACCCGATGTATCCCAGTTTTTCCAAAAATTTTTATTATTCTAATTTAATCATTTTACATTTATTTTTCCTTTTTTGTTAACAATTTTTTTAAAATAATTTTCTCAATTTTTGTAGAAAGAATGGATACTGATAATTCTGATAATGATGATGTATTTACTGTCGATGAATTGGAACAACTTGAGCAAATGCGCAATGATTTATTGGCTGAATTGAAAGGAAGCGAGGATCAACAAGATGAAAGTATTGATTATGAAGGAATTGGGAATGAAGAAGTGAATAAATTTTCGAATAATAATGTTGTGAAGGATTTGCAAAATACTTCTGATGGTGCCAATCCTAATGAATGTAAGTATTTATATTTTTTATTAAAGTTTAGTCATAGAAACTGGTAGTAAAATCTGTATAGACTAATGGTTAAATAATATTTGGGCAATTTTTAAGTAAATTCGGTTTTAATATTTTGTAACTAGAATGTTAAATATATTACAAAATTAAAATTTTTATTAACTGTGAGGGAAGACTTTTTCTAATTTTTATCAAATTTTTCAATTTTGCCTATATTCTTTTAGCTCTTCAACAAAACGAATCTTTTGAGGAAGAAGTAATACAAGAGGAAGACGACGATTCGGATAGTGAAGAGGATTTTAATCAAGAAGAAATCTCTGAACATATTGACAATTTATTGGAAGAGCCAATTAAAGAAGGTGTAAAAACAACCCCAAAACATTTATCAAAAAGGTTATGAATTTTTCTTTAAACTTAAAAACTATTTTTTTAAAGATTTAAACGTGTTTTGGAATATCGTGCAAACGATCACTTTAATGTTTTGCCTGAT